AATTCTGCATGATGAGTCCCTATCTCTTCATTTGCCAGTTCAGTCTCTAATGGTTGAAAGAGTGATGCATTATCTTACAAAAATGATTTGCAAGATTTGTTTGTGTATTTTAAGGAAATTCTGAAAGTATTAACTTTGTCTTTAAAAAAATCAGACTTTCTTACCACTTTCTTTACTATTCCATCTGGCTTGCTGATTTGCCTCTTTTTGGAGATTACAGATAGGGTTTTTAAAAACCATAAATATTCTCCAATGAGGAGAAGTTTTGGCTCTGATCCTGGAAACATATGTGTTTCACACAGCAACAACATATATTCCCCCTGTTGGAATACCTCAGAGTTAGAGGACTTATGTAATGTTTCTTTTGTAGGCAGATATAGAATCTCTTATGTATTGCACAGTATAAACAAATAAAAAATGTTTCAGAAGTGTGTATTTCGAATTCTTAGCTCTATCCAATCGCCAAGTGTGATATTCAAAAAATTATCCCTGAACTCTAAAGTAATCTAGGCCAGATTCTGAGATCTGTATGTGTCTTTTTGCACAGAATTATGTGCTGACAGCAAATAAGAAGTCAGCCTTAAGGCCCTTGGAAAGTCCCAGGCCATCACTTACCCAGGCCTGCATTTCCATTATTTCCATTTACCTTCCATCCACTGACCCACATAAATTTGGCAACTTGTCTTTTCTTTAATTTAGGTCCTTGAACATTTTACCAATGTATGAACTGAATAAAAGTGGTGGGAATAAATTGTGGAGTGATGTGGAAGAGGTTTTACAGAGAGCCAGAGAGAAGTTTGATAAGAGGATCCATGTTTACCCCTGAAAGAATTTTCTACCAAGGTTGCTGACAAAGAAACCAAGAAAGAAAGAAGGATAAATAAGAGAAACCTGCAACTGCCTATTCCAACAAGCACTTTGCTTGTCTCTCATGACCAATGAGTGAAGTGTTAACTTACGAGTTTTGTAAGAATGTATAAAAAGTATGCATGCTATAATAAAAGCAAGTTTGAAGCCTTCTGAAAATGGAGTGTGTTGCTTTGTACTGTCACTCAATTACAACAGAGTGATACCAAAATTTTAAAATATGTACCTTTGCTAATTTACTGAAACTCCCTTCAAGTAAGGCACATTATCAGTAAATTGCCCTGCTACTAAAATTGGTGTGTTGCTGATTCAAAGGCAAAGATTACACTGTTACAATGTATAATTGATTTGTCAGCATATTACACTTTGATTAAGAGGCAAACGCAATTTACCTCCTCAGCAATTAATGTTTCATATATCATACATGATAAACATGATGGTGAAAATGATTGTATCAATAAAGTATGATTTCTCTCATAAAAGTATCCTGAATCCAAACATTTTGTTCAGGCTTTTTCAAGACATTGGCACTTAAATTATATGCATAATAGTTTGCTTTGATTTCATGAAAAGATTCCTTCAAGTAATAAAATCAATCTGTTTCCTGAATAGGCTTAAACTTCACCTACTATATCATCTATGCTACTTTAGTGTTAAATAATGAGGTAGCACATTGTTCCAAAATTGTTCTGGATTATGTAAACCATTTGCAACATGACGTTTGGATTTCATGTTTTGTTTAGAGCTGTTTGGTAAAGCAGCACTTTCTGTCTTTTCTGGCTTCCTGGGTTTGCTTTTCTTTTCTGGAAGTTTACTACGATAATTTTTCCTTTTATCTTTTGCTTTTTCCTCTTCTTCTTCCTCCTCATCCTCATCTTCTCCCTCATCCTCTTCTTCCTCATCTCCTAAATCCCCTTCCTCCTCATCTCCTTCTTCCCCCTCTTCCTCTTCATCTTCTCCCTCCTCTCCCCCTTCCCCTTCTTCTTCCTCCTCACCCTCTTCCCCTTTTTCTTCTTCCCCCTCTTCTTCTTCTTCCTCCTCACCCTCTTCCCCCTCTTCCTCTTCTTCTTCTTCCTCTTCACCCTCTTCCTCTTCTTCCTCTTCCTCCTCACCCTCTTCCTCTTTTTCCTCTTCCTCTTCCTCCTCACCCTCTTCCTCTTTTTCCTCTTCCTCCTCTTCCCCTTCTCCTTCTTCTTCTCCTTCTTCCTGTCCTGCCTCTTCCCCCTCCTCTACCTCTTCTTCTTCCTCTCTTGTTTCCTCATCTCCCCCTTCTTCCACTCCTTTTTCTTCCTCCTCATCTTCCTCCTCTTCATCATCCACTCCCTCTTTTTCCTCATCTTCCCCAACACTCTCTTCTACCTCTCCTACTCCCTCATCTTCTTCCACTCCTTCTCCCTCTTTATCTTCCCCTTTCTCTTCATTTTCCCCCTCCTCTTCTTCCTTTTCATCTTCTTCCCCCTTGTCCCCTTCTTCTTCTGCCTCTGCTCCTTCCTCTTTCTCATCTCCTCTTTCCTCTTCCACTTCATCCTCCCCATCTTTTCCTTCTTCCATTCCATCCTCACTCACTTCCTTAGTTTTTGTATTTGCATCTTCCTCAACCTGCTCTTCTTCAGATACCTCTTCTTCCCTCCCTGCCAATGATTCTCCCAACTCCTCCTCTTCACCCTCTTTGTCTTTTTCATTTTCCCTTTCTTGTTCTTCTTCATATTCCTTTTCATCTTCTCCTTCTTCAGCCTCTACCTCTTTTTCTTCCCTTTCCTCTGCATCTTCCCCTCCTTCCTCACTCTCATCTCTTCCCTCACTTTTAACCTGCTCTTTGTCTTTTTCAGTGCCTTCCTCTTTCTCATACTTCTCCTCCATATCCTCCTTTTCTCCCTCACTCACCATTTCTTCTTCCTCCACCAACCTGCCTTGCTCATCTCTTTGCTCTTTGCCATCTTGCTGGCTGAGCTCCTCATTCTCCTCTGCACCCTCATTCCCACTTTCAGCTTGTGATTCTTCTTGTTCATTTTCTTCCTCATTATCTTTTCTCTCTTCATCTTTTTCCACTGAAACTTCATCCCCATCTTTGTTAACCTCACTCTCTTCTTCCTCCCCTAGTTTACCTTCACTGTCAATTGTTTCATCCAGTTTTTCTTTCTCACTTTCACCCTTTTCACTGCTTTCATTCTCCTGCTCCTGATCAGATTCCTCCTCATTCTTAATTTCTACTAGCCTGTCTTCATCAGGTTTATCATCAGAGCTTGTTTCTTCCTCATTCAGGCTTTTTAAATCAGTCTGTTCTACACGTTCTTTGTCATTGTTTGTACCTTGCATCTCCTCAATCTCACAAATGTCTTTTTCTGAGTCCAGATGTGTCACTGTCCTCCTTGCCCTCTGCACAACTCTGTGTTCATAGAAGGCCTCTTCCTTAAGTATATATTTTTGGAGATCATTAGTACTTTCCTCAGTTGATGATGATGATGATGAAGTTACAGACACTTGTTTCAAAAACTGATGCTTTTTCTTAAGCTCCTTCTGTTCTGCACTACTTTCTTCTCCTGTGACATTTATGCTTTCACACTTGTCAGATGTTTCAACACCATCCTTTGGTTTGTTTTGACTATCTGCTGTTTTTTGACTCCCTTGCTTTTTAACAGGATTGTATTCTTGTACAATTAATGAATCAGCCTGGGGCTGATCCCTGGGAGCAGAAGGAAGTACCTCTATTTTAAGGGACTGCTTAGATTTAACAGCTTTTGGCTTTTTATTGGAAGAATTTATTTTTTCAGTCAGAATTTGATTTTCAGTGGGAAGATTATATCTTGCATCCTCTCTGAAAAATTCAGGATTTTCCACACACTCTTTTTCCCTTTTCACTAATATGCTTTTATCCTCAGTAATTTCTTGAGCACCACTTTTCAAAGTACTATCACTTTGTGCATGCTCAGATTTACCTTTCTTTATACTTTTTCTGGCCACAGGCTTCCCTACAAAGGCACTACTCTTTTCTAAATCTTGTCCAGTTGACTCTGAAAGTGAAGACTGCTTTTGTAAAGAGCCAGACTCTAATTTTGAGCCCTCCTTTGTGAAATCAGAATCCTTGCTTTTCAGCCCACCCTTACCATCTCTTTTCAGTTTCACATTTTTATTGTTCTTCTATTCCACATGAGAAGCAGAAAATTAAAAAGAAAGAAAAAAAGCATTAAAGACAAATGGCAGCGAAAGAAAAAGGTTACAAAAGCATCTGAACAAGAAAAGAAACAATTTGTGAGAGGGGATTAAAAGACAGCATAAAAGGTAGAGCATTTCACATGAAATGAATTTACAAGTGCACATATTAGAAGAATGCAACATCCTGGTAATGATCAGTGTAGGGCTACACCTTTCCCACTACCCAAGGAAATGCAGCAGGAACTGTGCATTTCCCATATGTGCCACATCCCATAAACCAGAGCAGGGGCAATGCATGAGGCTGTGCAAGCAGAAGGAAATTCACACAGTTCTCTTACACCTTCCTCCTTTGGAAACCTTCTGATGCACTCACTGTTATGCCCTTTCTAAGAAGTTTGAAAATCTGTTGTATTTCTGCTTTAAATTTTACACTTATTTAACAAATTATGAATTTAAGAATCTAAAATAAAATTGTATTGAAATATAACAAAGTGCTGAAAAGCTGGGATCACTTTAGGAATGAAATAGAAAGTACTATAAAGTACTTTAATTTCATAATTAAGACCAGTATTATTGCTCCTTTAAATATACTTCATGAATATCTGTAAATAAAATCTTTATTTACACTGTGTCCCAAAATATTTTCTTAGCAACAAACCAGTAGAAATTTATGTTATCACATGAAGTTACAAGATGTATATGATAGTTTTTTGCTTCTTAAATTGGTGAAATATTACACACTCATCTCAAACTGCACTGGATATGTGGAGTTCTAGGTGCCTGCCCAAATTCTCTCTGCCTTCATGCAGCTTCTTAGAATTTTAGGTCATGGATATTCAGAAAATTAGCAGGAGGAGGTCTATAAAATTTGCCTGACTTTTTAACAACTCAAAGCAAAACAATGAAGTACTAGGACAATACAAGAATTGTACATTCTTAAACATCAGTACCAATATAAAACATGTAATTAGTTACAGTACCTTCTGTTTTTGGAGTGGTGATAATTTTAAGGACCAGTCACCAGGATTCAACTTCATTGCATGTGTCTGCAAAAAATAAGATTTCTATTAAAAATATATATATATATATATATTTAATACAGAAAGCAGCATCAAAGCCCAGTTTTACTAAACAGAGCTAGTTTATGAACACTTTAATATTATTGCACAGTCAGGGTGAGACAAATCTGTATGATCATTCAGCTCACCTGTTTCACTTCCACTCCATCATTTCTAAAGAGCGTGGTGAACAAATGTCAACACCTAAACTGTCTGTAGAGACTGAACACTACCCGGACATTTCTCAGAGCCCACAGGTACACTTGAGATTCACCTTCCATTCCCTGTGAGGTTACAAATAGAACCTTACTCCATTATCATCACAAACTTAACTCAACATCCAATTTGGCACCACAGCCTTGAAAGAACATCTTCAAAGAAAAGTTGCACAGCAGAAGTTTTCCTTGGAATCTAATGCTTTTATCTCTTCTACATAAAGCAAGAAATCAAAAGGCAACAAAAAATACTACTAAGTGGGAATATATAATGAAATTGTGCTGATCCCTTGCCATATATTCCAAATCACAGTATAATAATATTGTTTGCTGTTGATTATTAACTGCTCATGGTTTAACTATATTCTTTTTCAACACAGTGAGCATGGACAGTTCTGGTTTCAGACTCTCAATAATTTGTATCATCAATATAACATTAAAGGTTTTTCCTCCTCTTGTCACATGTGTCAATAAGATAGACGTTGCCACAGTCTAGAAAAATTGAAAAAAACTATGCTGTAGCAGATTGTTTTCATTCAGATCCAAGAAGAGGAACCATTTATCTTGTATTTTGGCAAGTTTTCCTGATAGGCTTTTTTAAAAATTTATGTTTAAAATTTTTTAAATGTTTTAAAATTGATTTAGGACAGGTATAAAACTGAAAAGGAGAAGGAAGTCTAGCACATAAAGTGTGCAACATGCAAATAATGCTTCAGTAAATTAATGGAGGCCATGCTGTGCATTGGATCTGATCACATTTTTTTCTTGTAAATCAAAATGAAGTTTTATAATGTTAAATAAATGGCATGGACAAACAAACTGTTAAATTACTAAGTACTTTTAAATGCAAACAATAATTCCTGTAGATGTTCAATCCCTCCAGCATAACTGTGGCTGCATTAAGGCCAGGACATGTTCCTTCTGCTGAGAGAACAAAATGTTTTGGAAAGTTGCACAAGTGATAAGGTGAACATGTTTTTTAAATAAAAGAAATATGTAGGAACAAGCTGGGGGATCACCAAATAATAAAAATGTCTGGATTTTGGCCTTCCCTTTAATATGATCCACCTGTATTAAAAAACCTTTTCTCAAACAGGAAAAGATGCTCTTCCGCTTCATTTCCTGCCTTTCTCTGTTGGAAATCATCAAGAAAAGCAAGGTCAGAGATAGAGATCACCATGTGGCCTCCAGCATCCTTTTCCTTTCCTTTCTGATTTCCAGAGTGTGGGGAGGCATTGCACTACTTGGACTGCTTCATATCACAACACTACCCTGAAAATTAAAACATATTTTAGCATTGGGTGACGATGATACAAAATGCATGCTCATCTAACAGTGTGTCAGTATGAAGTGTGTCACATATGATGTTCTGGTAGTCAGGAATTCTGCATTAGAACCTGGAACACAATTCAGTTTCTTTGTCTCCCCCTGAAAAAAATTACTGAATTATAGATCCATTACTGGAATATATTACCATATTTAGGATGTCAGTTGTATCCCCAAGGTTTCTGTCGATATTTTCATTCTCTGAATCTTGTTCTGAAGAGTCTTCACTAGGTTTATCTTTTTGATGCTTATTTTCTACAAGGTAAAACAGGGGTAAATAAACAAATGTCACAGGAACAAGCACTGTATAGCAAATAGAACACCCCAATCTTATAAAACAGACATTATTACTATGTTACTAACATACAACTGAAGCCCTCAGATTCATTATTCCCCCAGCCCAAGACACAGAAAAACCACTTCCATCTCCTTTCATCATTAACAACAGAGGGAGCTCAGCAATCTGGTCTCAGTGCACTGCAGGCTTTCAAAGCCTAAATACTACCTGGGAGAGAGATTCTTTTGGATAATCTCTTTAACAATAGTGTAACAATTAGACCAAAGGAGCTGCAATTGTGTTACCTCCCTTGCACATTATCTGTGTAATAGATGGAAAGACAGTGAATTTCATGCAGCATTATAAAAATGTCCCTACATCATTAAGCTCATCATGTCTATGACCATTTTGAACAGCACAAAACCTGAGGTTTTAGGTCTAAGAAAACTCTAAAAGAAATTCAAATTTCACTGGATTGCTTTCCTGGAACCAGAAATGCTACTGGACATGCTGGCAGATTTAAAAATAACCATCTTCATTCTATGAATGAATTGCTTTCAAGTTAGATTTGGCTGTCCAGTAAATCTGAGCTAACAATTACACAGAAGCTTTGCATCCTGCACTCTTCAGCATTGTTCTTTCTAGGAAATCACAGAGGCTCAGGATGCCAGACAAGTCCAGAACTGCTCTAGAGAATCTGTGCCAAAATCCAGTGCTCTATTATGGTTATCAAGACTTTTCCATCAGTTAGAATATGGTAAATCTTTATTATCTTAGATAGCAAAGAGTGAAGAGTACTTCTGCATTTCCAAGTGAAGAAGAAAGGTTGTGTAAGAATTAGTAGACCTCTTTTCTTATGTTTTCTTATCCAAGTTCCTTGTAGGCTTACCTGTGTTCCTAACTTCTTTTTTTCTGTAATTCCTTTTTTTTGTGTGTGTGTGAAAACAAAATAAGTAGTTAATGTTCTTACAGTATTTTTGTGAATCTTATTTCTAAAGGCTTAGGGAACTACAGCTACAATCAATAAATTATTTTGCTTTCCCTCAAGCCTCCCCTTAATCTTCAAACTTGTTTTGCAAACATGAACAGTGTGAGGCAATTTTTGTCTGCATTTCTCAGCTTTCATGCCTGTATGCTGCCAGACCCTCCTGAGGTAAGACTGAACCTGAACCTTCTTTCAGGTTCAAACTGCACATCTGTTTATGAATTTTGAGTCAACCCATTCTTATCAGAAAACAGCAGCAAGATGTGGGGGCACTTCACCTTTCTCATGGTCTCCATCCCTCCCAGATTCAGCTTTAGGACGACTTGCAGAAAACCAGAACGGGCTGGTGTTGCTTGCCACAGGCAATGAAGATTTTAAGAAGCTTTTCCCCATTGCAGGCAGAGTTTGTGCCATTCGAGCACACTGCTCTGGTGACCTTTCCTTTAGGAGATTGAAAAACAATAAATTGAGAAAAAAGCTAGAAGAACAAAATGTAGGCAATCTCTCATCCTTATCAGTGGTATTTGCTGCTAGCTTGAGATACAGTGTTGCAACTTAATAAGCAGAAACAAATATCTTTTAAAATTTTAATTATATATAGTCCTAGAAAGTGGACAGATACATAAGGAGATTTTTAAGATCATCTCTATAAAATGATTTCAAGTAATCCTAAAATATAAACAAAGGAGAAAAAGCAGCTTTTCTTTTTATCTAAAATGAAAATCTAATCTCTCAAATAATATCAAGGTATTTAATCCACAACATCAATGCATTTTTATAGAATAAATTCAGGTTATTTAAAATATTCAGGATTTATTCTGTTCTTCTAATCTACAACCACTTTGGCATCAATGGAGTCCATGTGTACATGGCAGAATATAGGTGACACATGTTCAGCAGTTAAATTGTTTGCAAAGAAGGCCTTCTAGAAAGCAGAAGGAAGAAGGGTGTCATCACTTTTTGGAACTATAAGAGGCATTGCTCTTGTCTTTATAGCAGTTAAACACCTTAAAGTAAAAAAAAAGCAGCTTTTCTTTTTATCTAAAATGAAAATCTAATCTCTCAAATAACATCAAGGTATTTAATCCACAACATCGATGCATTTTTATAGAATAAATTCAGGTTTTGGTAGAGGTAGTTCTCAGACAAGTAAGTGAAATGATCCAATTCATTGTGATGTTTAAGGAAATCACCTGGAATGTGTAGTGGAGATATAAGAGCAGAAAGCAATATTTTAAGTAGCTACATCTAATGTTCTCCTTTGATATTTTATAAATTATGAAATTGTTTAACATATTAAAAGATTCAGAGGGAACAGTGAAAGAGTCAGGTTCTTGCTATTTTTAAAAAATATTTCTAAGTTTAAAAAATGCAAAGGAACAGGTTCTACATTTTAAATAAAAAAACTTACAAATCCAATTTGAATCTCCTTCACAGAAATAATTAAGCAAAATCCGACTAACACTTACTTTTTTCCTCCTGCATCAATTTTTGGGACCAGGGTAAATATCTGTTTTTCATATTAGACAATAAAATTAAACCCTTAGTTTAAGAAGATATATTTAACTGCTTGGCACATGCTGTGATTTAGCTTTTAAAGTGTTTTTGATTCCTGCAAGAAGTATTGCAACTCTGAATACCTCTGAGCTTACCCTCTCTCGACGCCGCATTCGTGCTGCTGATAACTGCAAGGTGTTTGCCAGCACAAAGTCCCCTCTGCTTTGAGAGGCAGCAGCAGTCAAACGAGGCTCATACAAATCTTCCAAGGGTATTTCAGATCCTTTGGGTCTTGGAGCAGCAAAAACCAGCATGTGACAACCCCCACAAGCAACCTACAGCTCAAAAAAAGGTCTGATTACTTCATTTGCAAGTATTAAGAATGCACTTTTCTTACAATCATCACTAGGGACTTAGATGATAAGAAAGACATGTAGTAGAAGTAAGACATAGCAAATGGCTTCAAATTTAGTTCCAAATTACACCAAGATAAAAATACTTAATTACATTTATTAATGACTAGTGATCTATGTTCACCTCTTAGTTAAATACAATATATTTGTACTGAACAGAAGACAGGACTATCAAATTTTTTATATAAAAGATAGCAAAGATATTTCCACTGAATTTCAAGAGACATTAGCTATTTATGTTGATAAAAGTCACTTGAAAGCAATACTGATAATTTCAAACCTACACGTTTTATTTTTTTTACAAAATCAGCAATATCTAAAATAAATTCAACATCCTTCAGTAGACACAATATTATTATATAAAGATGAGAGGTTTCACTTTTTAAAAAGTTTAAAACACTCACGGCTTCCAATAAAATTTCCTTCACCTCTAATTCCAGTAAACAAACAGAAGTGATCAATAAACTTCTGTTGCATATTTTGTTCAATCTTGAGTCATGTTAGCATTTTTGATGCTGACAATTCTCTGACATTTCCTCCACACCTCAAGAAGCAGATGAAAACAACTTCCCTTACACAATTCTCAAAAGAAAAGACTATTCTTGCTTTCCTGTCTAGTTTGGATTTAAAAAAAAACCAAACTCAAATTTTCTTGAGGTTTAAAAATATCCCACTGTACAAAAATAGTCAAAATTTAAAAGATTACTCTCTGGTGTTTACAGAAAATATATAAATTTCCCCATACTTCCAACCATCCCAGAGTAATAAACAATTCAGTTTGCAAGCTACCTCAGCTCTGAAGGCCAAAACACCATAGCACAAGGGTACTGAATAAAACCCTAAAGAGGAATCTGTATGTCAAGCCCAAGTCAAAGACATTCCAAACTAAATTAACACGGTGCTTAGCATAGATAGTTTCCTCTTTCCTTCAGTCTGTGTTGGCCATTAATTAAATGTTACAGAAAGAAATAATTCTATAATGATATTTCAGCGCTCATTAATAATGGGTTTCATAAAAAGATAAATACTATGATGTCTGAGAGGAATGAACAAATGTTTTACCAAAAGGACTGTGAACTTCAAGAAATTGTAACACAGAGTGGGATCAAACAGATTTGTAAAACTCTCTTCTCCAAAGCCTAACTTGCCATGCCGTCCATCTCCAAAAGTAAACATCAGGCCATTCTCTGCATATGGGAATAAAAGGATGTTAAAAGAAAGATTCAATAGAAAACCAGGACAGAACCATTAAATAGTAACAGGGTACGAAAGTAAGAAATACTTCCCTTCCAAAAGCAAAATCTGAACAATTATTTTTAGATCTTCAACAGATGAATATTATTAAAAAATATGCATGTTTTCAGACAAAGTACTGTCTGAGATGTTGGTCTAGACAATTTGTAAAAAACCACCCCCACAAAATAATAAAATTTAAACTATACAGAAAAACAATGGCTTCTAAACAAGAAGATTTGTTAGCAAGGCATAATTAGGAGGTTTTAATTCCCCAAGAGATACAGAGTTATGCATGGCATGGCTGTGAGTCAGAAATTCCTGTTGAATTCACCTTTCTCACTGACTCATTTCACCCTTAGAACCAGTAATGGATATGTCTGCTCCTGCCCATTGTATAAGGAAAGCTTTTACAGCATAACAGAGAGTTCTAGAAGTGGTTCCAGAATTTTGCACTCCCATACCTGCTATCACAGCAGTGTGATTTTCCCCACATGCAATGTTACAAATTTTATGCCTCTTCAAGCGTTTCACAGGCTTTGGTACTGAACTTTCAAACACAAAAGTTCCATGTCCCAGCTGCCCATATTGTCCAAGTCCAAAAGTGTAAACATCTGTCTCTGAAAATATACAGACAAAGTTAACAACAAATATGCTGATACATATATTATTTATACATATATTTATTCTATTATATATCATATATAATATATTATTATATGTATAATTATATAGTATAATATACAATAATATATAATTATATATATTATATAATATATAGTATATATAATAAATATGTATAATAGTTATATATTATTATATATATAATTATATAGTATAATATACAATAATATATAATTATATATATTATATAATATATAGTATATATAATAAATATGTATAATAGTTATATATTATTATATATATAATATCTATTATATAATCTATTATCATATTGTCTATAAATAATTATATTTATTATATTACTTATATTTTTATTTATTAATATAATAGCCTACATTCTATTCTCCAAATGGAAGGTCGCTGACATAAACATCATTAAAAACGTTTAATCAATTAATAAAAGTGCCAACTAATCAATTACATTTATCAATTGTTAATTTACAACAAAATTTAAAAACAGGAATTGAATTACTGAAGTATACACAGAGAAGAATTTTAAATGGTTCAATGTGTGATATATTTTCTAACATAAATGCAAAATAATCCACTGATCATATGTACACAAAAAAAAAATTTAAAATTGTATGGGAATTTACATACTGCAATCAATTTAAGACTATAATGTTCATACATTTTTACGCATTTTCACAATAGCCTCATATTAATTACTAATTAGCTCCATGAACACTGTATGGCCCTAAATACAACAGACAAGGCCTAATAATTTGTGTGTAAGAAGAGACTGGAACAGTAACAGAATAGGTTTCAGTATTCTGCTCAGCTACCAAATCAGCCCTGCAATAAATACAGAGAACACTATAATTGTGTTATCTTGTGACAGAATAATCATCTTTCCACATTTATATTTTGTCTGTTTAATGGACTGTGTGTGCCAGGAAAAAGAATGAGAGCTTCTCCAAAGCAATAAAGATTCCTGGTGTGTCCATCCCTGGCACTCCATCACTACAGGGGAAGATTGCAAAGCTTGGAAATCTTGATGAGGTCATGCTTGAACTGAGAAGTTCTTTGGGAAAAAAAGGAGAAGTTTTCCTAGAATTTCATTTCCTGCCTCTTTTTCTTTTGCATGTGGGCAACAAAGGAAAAGTGAGAGAATTTCTACTCAAAGCACTTGAAAAATTATTATGAAAAAACGAAAAAGATTATGAATTGACAAAAAATATTCTATGTTAAAAGTACTTTCCAACTTCAAAGGAACTGTGATGAAATAGTAGCACTACATATGGAAATGTTCTTTCTAGGAAAGTCTTTTCATTTCTGTTCCTTACAAATTGTTCCATAATAAGATGTCATGAATTCACACTATAAACAAAAAAGCGCAATGGTCTCAAATTTTTTATAAATTGTAGACAAAAAGTATTGAGCAAACCTGGTTTATTTTACTAAATGTAATGGTAAAGCTCCCTCTGCTGGAAATTTTAGTGAAAGACAGTAAAACCTTCTTGGGAGCTTTATAAAGTAAAAGAAGTAGCAAGAATTTTCCTGTAATATTTAGACTTCCTGCATAATAATCAAGAAACTACACCAGAAAGCTCCTGAAAGACAGGAGCTTTCTCTAAGCAAACAAAAGTCTCATCTTTATTTTAGTAAACTGTTTTCTCAGGATGACTGATTCAAAAAATTCTGTTTAGAAGTACTTAATTTCTTTAAACAATTCTTTGGAAACTGGCAGATATTTTAACTACATGGCTTTATCTGATTAACATAATTACTTTGAATGAACTACAAGTTTTTTCTTTAATCCTAGCATCAAACATGCAAAGTCTTCTGCATTTTTGTTGAGAGGGACATGTTTTCAAATGTCAACTTTAAAAGTGCAGGGAATTTTTTCTTTCCTGTGTTTCTACTGAAAATGAGGAAAAAGGCCAATCCCAAGCCAGGTTAGAGTGCCTTTATATGATGAAGAATTTCTTCTGCTGCCCTTATAGACCAGTGGCACCTAAATGTGCTCATCCTAAATTTGCTTTTTAGTGAATTATCAGGGTAGAGGAAGAAAAAAACCTTGCACCTTTCTTAAATGATTCACCACTCTGGTGCAGAAGTGGGGTCACACCTCACTAATAACCCCCTTCAGCAGAAATGAGGTATTTCCTCCCATCTTGTCTTTATAATTGCATGGAAAGAGGAGAGTATGGAAAAGCAACCTCTCACTTGATAAAATGGCAGGGGTGAATTTCATCATTCTGAACACAGCAGCAGCCCAGGAGAGGGCCCTTGAAGGACAAAGAGAAATGGTTGCAGAGGATGCACAGAAGACAATGGCTTTGCTGTTCTAAGTGACCTCCAGCACCTGAGTGCTGGAAGAGCTGCTTCTTTACTTCCTATTTCTCTTTTTGGAAGAAAGGGGATATTTCCCTGTAGCTGTGCTATCTTCCATCTTTGCAGGCATCTTTTGTAATCTCTGTGATCATTTGCACTATCAATAAAACACTCCTAGGCAAAAAGCTTTATAGCTTCCATATTGTTTTTTACAACATGCCATTTACTAACAGAACTGTATGAGCTCAAAGAATGTTTTTCAGAATCATGCATTCCTGGCTATGTATCTAAGGCTACAGATGAAGCTAAAAATCCACAGAACTAAAAAGGTAGCAGACAAGTAAGCTTATATCATAGTAACATAGAATGGTTTGGGTTAGAAGAGACATTAAAGATCATCTGGCTCCAACATCATGCAATGGGCAGGGATACTTTCCATTAGACCAGGTTGCTCTCATCCAGCCTGGCCTTGAACACAGGCATGGGACATCCACAACTTCTCTGGGCAACCTGTGCCAGGGCCTCAACACTCTCACAGTAAAGAATTTATTCCTAATAACCAACCTAAACCTGCTCTCTGTCAATTTGAAGCCATTCCCCCTTGTCCTATCAGTCCAGGCTCTTGTAAATAATCCCTCTCTATTATTTCTTGTGGGCTCTGTTCAAGTACTGAAAGACTGGAAGTCATTAGATCAGCCCAGAACCTTCTCTTTTCCAGGCAGAACAACCCCAGTTCTCTCAGCCTTTCCTCACAGGGGAGGTGCTGCATCCCTCTAATCACCCTGATGGCCTGTCCAAATTCATTCCCCTTGAACATCACCATTATTATTATTATTACTACTATGACTATTATTCCAATGAACTATTCACTCTCACAATAGCTTTATTTTTAAACAGCTTATGCTGAAAAATGTTACTGTAAAAAAATCAACTGTCAACACAATGTTCACTAATTCAGAATTAGTAACTGGATTTGGGGATTTCAGTATAAATAGTATACAGACTTAAGAACGGTTTGAAAAATCTAATAATCCTGTATGGTCTGAATTGTGAGTTCTGACAGGAAAAGGTAGAGTTTTTACATCCTTTTTGTCCTCTTTCAAAAGGGTGCCTTGGCTTTCTTTTCTTTTTAAAAGACCTTGAAACAGAAGATGAAAAATCCAACATTTTACATACTAATGCACTAATGTTCTTATGTCAAACATTTTATTCTCAAAGGTCTGCTTCACTTTTTCCTTTGAAGAGCTATCTTTGCTTCCTTTCTTTCAGAGAATGAAAGGAAGTAATATATCCTCCTATAGAAAAAAATTATTTCCAGAGGATCTGTCCTCATCTGAAAAAAACTGCAAGAGATTAAGGCCACTCCAAATAATCTGTTTCTTCTTTTCCAATTTCTAGATTCAGATTCATTAATTTTCTACCTTTTAAAACACCTTATTGAAAAAAAGCACACAAATTGGGATTGCTGCTTGCCCATATTTAATTTGAAAGTGATGACACCAACAGCTTTCATTTCCAGCAGGAAGTACCTGCAGGCATTGGGGGAACTTGGTGCAATTCTCAGTCTCTGAGTGAATGAATCTGAGATGAGGACAGGATCCTCTCAGACTGGCTGACCGACTGCCATGGAGTGAAAAGCTTTGTGCTATCAAGATTTTGCATGATAGAATTTTTAAATGCAATTCTGCTTATTGTCTAGAACAATAGCAAATATTAAAGGCAAAGGTAACAATAGAGTTTGTAAAGATGATGGTTTCCAATACCACACTCAACATTTCTAAAACCAACCTTTTAAATATTGGGCTTTTCACTAAATTATTGCTCTTGACAATTTAATTCTTGTTCTCTGGGAAAAATAATTGAGTTTGTAATTTTAGAATTTCAGAGGAAAAAACCCAAATAATTATTTTAATATATACTTTCTACCTGTTACTCTGATGCTTGTAGAGATTCCAAGCAGTATCTTGATTTAATAGCCCAGGTAACAGTGGTTCTCACCACAAACTGCCAATAGTATAGACAACAGTCATAAAAAAGAAATCATATGAAGTGCTTTGGAATAGACTAATTACACATGGGAGTCAGGAAGAAACTTGCCTTATACTCTGTAAGATAACTGAATTATGCTTTCTTCTAATTTGATAAGCTCTAAGTAGAAATGATGTCGAGAAATGAGTCAAGATGATCAACAGTTTTTCCATATGACATTTTCTCTTGTGCTTTTGCTATGTCAAATGAGATAGATGAAGCAAGGGAATATTCATTAGTCACACACTCAATTCTCATTTCCTGAGATTGAAATGTCACGTCCTGAAAAACTGGAAAGACCCTGAAAGGATGAAAACCACACCAGTACATATTGTGTTACTAAAGGCAAGTAGCACCCATTTTCAAGGAGGATGACACTTCAAATTCAGAGTTTCTTCAAAATTTTATTACTTTCCTAATTTATGAAAATGAGGTTAAAAGAGGCGTAAATGTTTCTGCCCCTCTTTAAAGATATCTCATCAGAATTCTCAGTTTCTGGTCACACCATAAGATGTAATTTAGGACCAATTTCAAGTGAAGTTTCTGGTGAAAAGCCATTAATGTACGTATGTCACAGTCCCTTAAATTTTTTAGTAAGGGTATCTATCTCTTTTCACAACTCTTTTCCCAAATTTTGCTTTGAATCAGAAAATGTTCTCTGTGCTAACACTTCTAAGTATCTTTCATTTGATACAACATTGCCAATATTCTCTACTGTTTCACTCAAAGTGTCTTAGTCAGAAGTTCACATTTGTCACTTTTTTAATAACAGCTGAATCACATTAAAAACATCTATCTGATTTTTCACTCTTATCACAACTATTAATCTTCAGGAAATGTATTTTGTTGGAGGATATAGTTTTCCTCTTTTTTATGACTCAACTAGGTCCTCTGGCACTCAACACTTTTATCATCAACTGCCAGCTCAGCCAGCACTAAATTCTTACTTATTTCTACTAAAGAATTTATTTCCATAAGAAAGAAAATCTTACATATATGTATACTTATTACAGTATTTTGTTCACTGCATTTTTCTATGGCATTTTTATCTTCCTCTTTGTTCTAGCTCTTGTACAGATTTCACTATAATGATGATGGCATCCAGGTCTGTATCTTTCTTCTAAGTCTCGATAATAGTCATTGGTTATAATGATTATTTTTATGACATGAAACACCATTAAGTCAAAATATCTACTGGTTGAATTCAGATTTATGGTTAAAAAAATAATCAATGACGATAATCAAATTCTTTCTACAAATCTTCACTTAATAACTCATAAAATAATGCTATGATTTATGCATTTGCTGATCCCAAATTTATGGCCATTTTTTCACTAATAATGATAATCTGATTTCACATAAATAAATTTATTTTGTGACATAGAATGGCCAAGTCCATCCTGTCAGGGTAAGACTGTATCTTGGTGGAAGAAGGGAGACAAAGGCATTGAAATGTAGACAAATGTTTATATTCCTTCCTGGATTAGCTACTGCTATTTCCTCTTTATAGTTTTCCCAAAGGAATTTTAAACTAGCCAGAATCTTGCAGCTTGACTCACTACATAATCTTTCCCAGCATTTCACTTCCCCTTTTACTCTTTCCAATGGCTTGCAGCATAACACCACTCACAATCTCCTTGCTTGCAGCATAACACCACTCACAATCTCCCTCAGTTAGATTTTCAGTTTATATTTTAGAAAGTTTGGCTACATAACCTTGAATGCACACCACAAGATTGTCAAGAGACAACCACAGAGAATACAGATTAAAATACAGATTTAAGGACTGATAGCTATACATCCAGTATATATATATATATATATATATCTTGGTTATATATCTATACATATCTTGGTTTTACAGCTTTTTTATTTTGGCAGAAGAAAAATCGCAAGCTATTCAGTTTTGCACATATTACATTCATTACAAGCTAAAGCTGCTATTTTTTGAACTATCTTCAGGCAAAGTCCAACTTACCTTTCCTGCTTCTACACCACTCTAGGTCAGGATAGGATTTGTGGAAAGAAATGGCTGGCACTGCTTTGCATGAATGCCTTGGAAAAGCTCAGTCACCACTGGCAGACAACCATTTAACAGTTCAGTAACATACAGCATTTTCCAAGTACTATATATGTGGCCCTGTGAATTAATATGTAACATTTGTATTTGCTGATTTTCATAACCTGCACAATATGTCAAATGTCTGTACTGGTTTCATATTTATGCTAAAGATTCTGCTCAAAGGCACAAGCAAATTCTGTATCACAATAAGAGATATTTAATCCATTCAGGCATGCAGTAGATAGTGAAGCTACTCAAAAAGTGACTTCCTACATACCTTCCTAAATATTCAAGAGCATTTAAATTTACTACAGAATGGAAGCTTTCCTCTAGAATTTCCCTCTCACTGCAATAACAATTTCAAGCTCCTTAGAGGAAAAAAACATCAATCATCTGTGTTGCACCAGGTGGTGCTGCCTTATTACAATTCCAGTAAGAAAGGCACTCAGTCTATGTAAAGTTCTCTTAAAATGTTATTTATTGGAGGTAAGACTATAAGGAAAAGAAGACAGGATGAATAACCTTCTGTCCCTTGAGAAGCTGGGAGTCCTGAGCTATGTGGAATTGAAAAGGACCCCACCATGCTCTGCAGATTCCATCCATGGAAGGCTACCTCAGTCAGAGCTCTTACAGTATTTTCTTATATCCAAAATCACTCTACACATCATTTATACTGATAACTTCAGCATTTTATACTGAATAAAAAGGAAATTCACATTGGAACTTGCTGCTGAAGTTTCAGATAAAGCAAGGACAGGAAAGTGGTGTCAACCAGGAGCTGTCTGGAAGCCCCTCTGTTAAAATCACCTGGCCAAGTTCATCCTGTAGCCAAGGGACATGGGCAGTGCAGCACAGGCCTGCTTTAGCTGGGTGGTGCATGGATTTCTACCTCCTTGGTGTACAATGGCCTTCCAGCTAGGATCAGCATCCAGCACTTCAGTGGGATGTAAATTCTTTAGAGTGAATGGAGTTTAAATTACAGGGCTGTAAGAAGAGCCAGTTAAATTGCATACCTGTCAGCACCACAGTGTGTTCTCCACCACAAGCAACCTTATTAACCTTTTCCATAATTCCCAGTACAGGCTGTGGGACCCTATTGTTCTTCAGCTGTTCAGGGAATAATCCCAGTTTCCCATTCACAGCTTCTCCAAAAGTATAGAGCTCACCATCTCCTGTGAAAATACAGAACAAATTATGGTTTCTAGCATGCACTCAGGAGCAAGAATGGGTTGTCAAGACTGCTGCAAACAGAAATTATAAAGACAAAAAAGCGTATGAACATTACAGCTGAAAATATTTGTATAATGCCCAAACAGCTGTGAAAAGCACGGAATTCACAGAATGACCAGGTTGGAAGAGATCTTCAAGATCATTGAGCCCAACCCAGACCTAACAACTCAACTAAACCCTGGCACCCCGTGCCATATCCAGTCTGTTTTTAAACACATCCAGGGATGGTGACTCCACCATCTCCCTGGACAGACAATTCCAGAACTTTGTCACTCTTTCTGTAAAATCTTTTTCCTAATATCCAGCCTTTATTTCCCTTGGCACAGCTTCAGACCGTGTCCTCTGGTTCTGTCAGGGCTGCCTGGAGAAAGAGACCAACCCCACCTGAGCACAGGTACCTTGCAGGGAGCTGTAGAGTGATAAGGTCACCCCTGAATCTCCTTTTCTCCAGGTTAAACAACTCCACCTCCCTCAGCCGTTCCTCACAGGGCTTCTGCTCCAAGCTCTTCACCCTCACTCCACTTTGATGGGACACAAAGGTGCTAGATCTGAGTCCCCTGCAAATTCTGAATCACAATATTTAGCCTGCAAGGAATGCAGCCACAGGAAAAACAAAACCATATACATCCTGTTTCTGAGAGGCGGTAATTCCCTCTGTAATCAGTATTTAAGTCAACTGAAGAATTGCTGGTAAGAATCTGAACTGAAACAGAAAATAGTTTTGTGTAGAATTTTGATGGAAAATCAATCTGCTCAAGCAGGGTTATCCTTGAGCACATGGCTCAGGATTGTGTCCAGACATTTCTGGAATATCTCCAGTGGGTGTGGAGGGAGACTCCACACCCTCTCTGGGTGTCTGTCCCAGTGCTCGGTCACTGCACAGTGAAGGAATTCTTCCTCATGTTCAGATGGAACTTCCTGGCCATCAGTTCCTGTCCATTCCTCCTGTCCCAGTGCTGGGCACCAGAGAGCAGAGCCTGGTCCATGCCCTGACCCTCCCTGCAGACAGGGATGAGATCCCCCTTCAGCCTCACCTTCTCAAGGCTCTCCTACATTCTTCTACACCTCTTTTCTAAGAATTTTTGCAGTCATTTCAATCTGTCTGTGCTTCTTAAAAACCAACAAATTACCTCAGCTGCAAAAAAGTAAATTTCATTACATTTTAAACCTATGAACCTAAGCATCTCTGTTGAGTTTTATTTCCTGTTTTAATTCTGATTTTGCTCTTATATCTATATGCAGAAATACTTTGCTGTAATTTGCATCAGCACCAATTTTCTGTTCTAAAACAGTAGCCAATTTAAAAGATAAAAATCAGCTGCAATGTGAGGTTTTCTCTAACCAAAACATTCTGCTGACAAAAAGAGATTTTAAGTATCCTAAGTGGAAAGGAAAAAAAAAGCAACAAAAAGAATCCTGTGTTTTTAGAAGGTAAGTATTTTTTCAGTACTCTTAAATCAGCCATATATTTCTAAAAACAAGTTTTAAAAAAACCTAAAAGCACTTGGGAGATAACTACTTATGCAGTTCTCTTTGAAGACACCAGCAGTTCTTTTTAAACACTATAGCACTGAAAAATCATTATCTAATTAAGAGGATTAGAGATTCAAATGGCCAAGCCTCCCAAACTCATCAAGTTTATTACATTTTTTCCACTTAATAATCCAGCTAACACAGATAAAACCATTTACCAAAGCAATTTTTGAATACATTACACATCCCGTTTAGGCAAATAGTGGTCTAAAAACTATGAAAAATAGCAATCAAGCATGAACAGAACCCACTCAAACCCAGATAAATTTTGAGTGCATCTGCATGCTGAGGACATGATGTACTGTGTGGAGTACACCTGAATTTTAAGGACACTCTGTTCACAACAAAACCTGGTTATTTAATTTGTTCCTCTCATATGAGTCACACTCTCACACGTTGAACTTTCCCTAATGTGATTTTCTGTATCACTAAACTTAAAATCACAGGAGCACATCAAGAAAATGGACAAATGAATGGAAAATGTCCCTCAAAGGGAAATGTGCATCTGAGTGCATAGATAATAGGTCTAGCTGGTGGCAAATAAGGGACAAAAATGAGTGGACAAAAGACTTGGATAATTCTAACATTTCTTGAATAAATGAAGAAGAAAAAGAAAAGAAATATTTATGAAGACCAAATTGGTTAAAACTGTCTCAAACACTGAAATTCAGAGCACGGAAGTGTTTGTGGGATGAATGATTCTTAAACCAGTCCTTAAAAATAATGATAAAATATATTAAAAAAAAGAATTCAAGGAACATGCAAATTCTATGAAAAGACATCTTCTCAGTAAGAATCTATCTTGACCTTGATTACAGTTACAATTCAGGCAGGGGAAACACTAGAAGGGGTCTAATATATTCAATTCCTTTCTGTCTCCACACATCTAATTCTGCTGTAGAAGCCAAGCAGCAGTGAGATACATCAGCTTTTCCTGCTCTCCATCTCCTGCAGTGGACAAATGAGCTGTACATGCTTGCCAAGCTTAATGCTTCCTGAAAAATTGTCCCCTCCTGAGTGTGTGATCAAAGGAGAGTCAAGTAAAGATCAGTATAAGTGCTCAAAATTGTTGCTACACTCTCCCAGCAGTTTATTTCTCTGTTGATTTGCTTGAGGCAAAACCCTGACACTGGGACACAATGTCCAAAGCCTGCAAAAAGGAAGGAAAGAAAACACACTGAAAAAATCCTGAAAAGAGCTGGAAGCTACAGACTAAGAACTTCTTTTCAGTGGAACTCTTTGACAAATGCAAAGGAGAGGAAAACAATCATCTTACAAATATGAACTGATTAATCAGACTAGTTCTTAATTTGCATATGGAATTGAGTTAGCCATTGCCTGTGCATATAGGCAACGGCCTATATGCTTAGTCTAAATTTCAGAAGTGTGTTTTTTTATTTAAAATATTCAGTGTTTTTTTTTTATTTAAAATATTCAGAATTTATTCTGTTCTTCTAATCTACAACCACTTTGGCATCAATGGAGTCCATGTGTACATGGCAGAATATAGGTGACACATGTTCAGCAGTTAAATTGTTTGCAAAGAAGGCCTTCTAGAAAGCAGAAGGAAGAAGGGTGTCGTCACTTTTTGGAACTATAAGAGGCATTGCTCTTGTCTTTATAGCAGTTAAACACCTTAAAGTTAAAAGTCTACTAAAAAAAATCTAAAACCCAGCAATGTCAAAAAAAACCAAGAACTTCATTTTAAAAGGAAAAAAAAGCTGGCATCTATGCTTTACCACTTTTTATTCAATACTCTCTTATTAATGAACATCCTGCCCTGGAGAGGGCACTCTGTGTCCACACTATGTTTCCTAGTGTCCTCATGAGCCACCTTTTAGTTTTAACCCAGATATGCCTGTGTTCCCAACAGGTTTTTCAGCCAGCACACACCTTATGTCAAACATAAACATATTAAGAAAGGGAGCCATATGGTGCCATGCTCATCAGTTCAGTCTGACAGCATCTACCAAGTCTGAAATCCTGCAAGTATGTTACACTATTAAACAGAGTGTATTATTTCATGTTTAAAAATCAAAATGTGGTAATTCTGTAGTATTCTTATAACTGGTAAGTAACACATTCTGTGACTATGGTATACTCAGAAAAAATGTATAAAGCTAATTTTTAACACTGTGTAGATACACACTGACAGCAGTGCAACAGAAAATTGATTCTGCAAAAGTACTTGGATGCCCAGTATTAAATTTTTATGGCAGCTGAAGTATCAGTCAAATAAAACTGATGACAAGAGGCCCAAGGAAAGCAATAAAAAAAATTATGCTTTCACTACAAACAAGACCATGCGTGTGTCAGTAGCGTCAGTGACATAGACTGAATTCATGCAGGACTTGCAGATATTAAGGCTAAAAATTAAGATTTCCCACCTCATACTCAGGCCTGTTTAAGTAGTAATAGGTTCACCAACTCCTCATTTTTACAGGTGATAACCAGTTCATTCTTCCTATCAATATTTTAAGAAGCTCAATTTTTCTTAGCCAGATACAAGACTAAGCCTGTTTTTCTTATCGCCTTCCATCAAAAGCTTCCACTTCCTTAGGGCACTTGGCACACACTGTTCTCTCTTTACTCTCAGATGTTTTTCCTCAACCCTTCTACTAATAAGAACTTTTGTGACATCCTGCTGCACTCCTGGACCTTCAGCTCTTGGCTCAAAGGCAGAGATGCACACATTACTACTACATCCTTGAAGCAAGCATCTTTTTATTCTCCCATTTATTCTGAGTCCAGGAAGCTGCATTTTTCCTAACAGATGCTGAGGTCCTGATCAGTCCCAGACACTTAATTCATTTACTGCAATAAAGTATTTGTAATAAAAAATTGCACACTACCAGCCTAACATCTAATTAATATTTGTCCACGGTAGCAAGCTCTCATTCTGTTAACAGCATGTTCTCAGAGAGCAATAAAGATATTGTATGTGAAAAAATAACATTTATCAAGTAATCTGGGAAAGGTATCTGATGGAATAGCTCCTGGGTACCCATTAAAAGCTTTACAATCAAAACTATCGATCCTTTGAAATCTTTAATTACTCTAAGGGGACCAAACAGTAAAGTTTAATAATGTAAATCTATATGGCTGAGAGGAATTCATAGCTGCTCATACATAATGCCATCAATACTGGCTGATCATTCATCCATACTGGCATTATTAAAAGGTGAGTGGAATCTTCACTTTGGAAACCAATGGAGAACTGGGAAGAGAGAGGTGGAAAGCAATAGGGAGGTGGTTTGGTTTGGAGATCAGACAACAGCTCACTGCAGCATTGCTTCTCCTCTATCACATACTGCCAGTTTAAATGATTTCAAAACTTACATTTAAGACCAAAAAACAAACTTGGACAACAATCTTTTACTTCTAACAACATTAATTTTTTCCTCATAAAATAGCATCTCAGTTCAATATTGGTATTTCCAGAGAAGATAAAGTTTATTATTTGAGCACCAAAACAAGAAAAAACTCCAAAAAGTTGGATTTTTGAAACCATGGTTTTAATCCACAATATATGAAATAACCCTTATGAAAACAAATTGTAATAAGAGACATTTCATTCTTTCTAATACACTTTTACACAACAATGCGCAAATGCAGAAAATTGTCTGCAAGTTTTTTCTCTACATAGGAGGCTTATAGTTTTTAACAACTATAGGGTATCAAGTTTCAAACAACTATTTGAAAACCACTGTCTTGTCTCCACGAACCTTTATTCCCATTCTCTTACCTGTAATCAAGGCAGAATGATAATATCCACAGGATACAAAGGAAACAGGTTTTCCAATATCCACTTTGCAGGGGACACAGACAGAGGCTTCATTGGCCAGGCCAATCTGCCCCTCTGAATTATCACCCCACACAAAGAGCTGCCCATCCTCTACAATAAAGATACAGATAGTTAATAGATTTAAAACAAAAAATAATAAAAAGTTAATCCATTTATTGAAGAGTATTTCAGAAACTCTCCATATGATACCAGTGAATGTCATGATCTCAAGGATATAAATGATAATTTAGCTCAATGCAAAAAGGAATTGGAAATAGGAGGGATTTTCCTAAGCTTTTCAAAAGTGACCCAGAACACTTACACATAAGCAACATTAGGCCATAAAGACCAACAGAAAAAATACTGTGTAAAAAACATTCCTTCAGATAGAGGAAGACTGAGTGAGACAATTCAGTTGCCAGAGGTCAGTATGAAAATATTACAGTGAATTTAAGGCATCTTCTCATTCCTAGGTGTAAGTCACCCCTTTCTCATTCTTCCAAACTTATTCTCTGTTCTGACTTTTGTAGGCATCCCACTTATTCATGCTTTATCTTTCAATTGCCCTCACAGATGGTTATATTGACCAGCTTCATTTTGCCCTCCTTAAACTACAACAGTAGATGTTCCAGGTTTATTAAGACCAGCTTCTATTGAAACAAAGACCAATGGCAATAGTAAAAGAAAAAAAAAAAAAAAGGCAGTGAACAACATGAAAAGTCTGTAGATTCTTCTAGAAGAGATAAAATCTTATAAAGTCTTCTCTATGTATGTATGTGTATTTCTTATTGGTGGTAAATAAGTTGTGAATAAAAAGTACCACCTACAGTACTACTGAGGTAGTGTTAGGAGTTAAAATAATTCAAAATTGTCCCAAAAATCAAAAAAACTCAGGAAAATATCAGCAATTGGCATAAAAAACCCCAAAAACCAAACAAGCAGGCTAGCATCTCTCTCAAGTTCTGAAATTAAAGCCTCAATAACTTACCCTGAACAGGTACAGAAAAAACTGCTTTATAGCAAGACATGAAAAATTGCATTATAGGGTAATAAAGGACCACCCATCCAGTGACTGGAAGTATTGTAACTGTGTGGATTTCAGCATGTTGTGATGTATAATTGGTATAATTCTGCCACCTGAGGAACAGGTGAGAGGCTCAGCCTCTCCCAGAATTAGTAAGGAATGACACAGCAGTGCAGCCTGAACCAATGGACTGCAATAGCTGCAGTAACAGATGGAATTAAAGATACTTAGTCTTCATAGGATTCATGTTTTGCTGCTGCTTTCCCTGGAAATAAACTGAAGACTTTTTTCCATTTTGAGGGTATTCATACTACTCCTCCTCTGTAAGTATTTCTACTAAATCTTCACAAAAACTCTAAGAGGTTATTGAGACACACACCCCTTACCAAACTGTTAAAATAGGAAATTGACAGACAAAAAATGACTGTGGCTACCAAGGAAAGAAGACAGAGAGGATAGAAAATGCACCCACATATACAGACAGAACGCTGGATTAAGTGTCTTCCTGGAACCAGGCTGGACACATATAAATAGATTTTATTAGCATTGGTTCTCACCAGTTACTGCTGCTGAGGTGTATGACCCAGCTGATAGTTGCTTGATCTTGTGCTGATTGGTGAAAAATCTAATTAAATGGAATGTGGTCCTTTCCTCTGTGTCACCTAATCCCAACTGGCCTTCACTGTTACCTCCAGCAGCATAGACATTTCCTTTTTCTGCATACAGAAAAGCACACGTAATACAGAGAAAGAAGAAAGCAGAACAAGTGATTTAATTTTCAATGGAAAAAACATCACAAAAACATTAGGCTCTATTGCCCTGAAACACCCTCCAGCTGAAATTAGCAGTTTCTGTTGCAGCTAGCAATGTTTTCCTGCACACACTTGGAGCAGAACTTCCTAAAGACCTTACTGCATTTCTTACTATTCTGGAGACTGATATAAAAGTAAATGTGATTGAAAGTTCTGCCAGAGCTCTGAGAAAATGACTACCAGTAGCCCTAGCAACCAGAAGCAGCTCCTTCCACAAATAATGTATACTTTGAGATAAAGTAGGAGGAAAAGGGTGCATGATGACACATAGAAGAAAAACTGAAGCTGTATTAGTACGTAAATTAAACAAATTAATATCTTGATAGTTTTGAGTATTGTGAATGAAATATATTTCTACTCAGTTTTTTTATTAGAAATATTTTACTTATTTTAATATTTAAATAACTTCAAATTTAATTAACCAGGTGGTTTTTCTAGAATCTTGAATTTAACACTGATGACAGATATCTTCAACTTTACAGAACTTTGAGATTTATACTTTTAATTTTAGTATGTTTCACATCTAAAGTGCTTATCTGTAAAGAAACAGATATATTCTATTATTAACAGAAACCCAGACAGAAATGTGATAAATAATCTGACATATAATGGCCACAAATTACCTAGCCAGTGTGTACACCAAAGGTGACTAATATTTACCCGGTGTAAACTTGCATACTCAATTGTTATTAATTTGTTCTATTTTATTCTAACAATCTTATTTACAGTGTTCAGGGTCTCCATGTATATAAACCTCCTAATAATCAAACAATCCTCTTTACAACATTGCTGAAAGCTAAAGGATTGCAACCAAAGAGATGGCTATTCCATGACATAAATCATAGAAGCATGACAAGAGCCTTCATAAATTCTCTGTATTCTGTGTCTCTATAAATTTATTTTTAAGTTCATATTTACAGTTTATTTATTTATAGCTTAATAAAGTAACTTGACACTGAAATAGCAGACTATGTTGTGTAACCAAAAATGCAGGAAAATGTGAAGACTTGAAATCACTCAGTTCTATTATATTTATTCAAATATATAACTTTAAACTAATAAAGATTATTTATCAAAGGTAAATTTGAGTACAGATGTATATAAAAAATAATAATATATCTTTTCAGGGCTTAAAGGAAATATTCATATTGTTAACCACACCTCAAATGTCAGCAAGAAATTTTTCCATATGTCTATTACTAGGAAACTACTATCTAACATTAGTTAATAGATGCATTTGCTCAGAATAAATTTTAAAATTCTAAAAACTTCTGAATTCTAAGAATTGGATGTCAAACCCCTGAGTTCTAGAAGACCCTTTTTTTTTTTCTTTCTTCAACACTTCTGGGGTTTCTAATGTAGATTTGCATGAAAGCAAAGGAAGAAATGCATCTTGAATATGTATGAAATAAGGTTACATACCTGTGTAAACTAAGGTGTGGTTTCTTCCACAAACAGCAAGTTTTGGTTTTTCTGGTTTTAAAGCTAAGAATTAAAATCGAAGAGGAGGGGATGTTATAAACAAACTGATAGCTGGTTCAACAACATGTTCTGTGCTCTAGAGGGAGCTCTGATCTCTTCTTTTCACATTTTTACGAACAGAATTATTACAAAATTCATTGCACATTTGAATCTAGCACATGACTTATCAAATCAGTATTCCCCTGAGATAAGAAAATAGGTCAAACCTTAAAAACTTAAAACACTCAAGTTAACTTGATGATGGTTACTTCACCCCAGTGAAGTCTCTGGAATTTGCCATTCATGGGATATGCCTCAAAGAATATATTAAGTAGCAGGATGAAATTAATGATTTAAGCTGTCTTCAGTTTTCATTAACAGGGCCATTGTTAATTCCCCCCTAGACTTTTCCCAGTATTGTAAATCTTTGCAAGCATCCTGTTCCTTTGTGTCACCATCCCTACCTGCCTTTGTTGTGCTCCCATCCCTTTTCTGCTGTGCTCTGATCACTTCCTGATCCCTGATCTCAACTGCCAGGGGCAGCCCTACCTGGCCCAGTGCCTGCATTTTTTGCCTGTGTCATCCTGTTTCCATTTCAGCTGAGTCTCATTTTAGCACCAATGAGAGTGCCATGGCATGTACTTCTCTGCAGTCTGGTCACTTTGAAAGACTGGGAATGAATGTGAGGGGAGTCAGGAGTTATTTTGGTGGGAGAGAGAGAAAAATACAGGGGCTCCTCTTCTCCTATGAGAAGTGTCCTCCATTTCAGAAGTAGAGAGGAAAAATGTCTCCCTGACTTTTCCATCCTTGCTTCAGTTACTATTTATTGTCAACAAATTATCTTTTCTCAGTCATGTCCATGTCCCCTATACAATGCTCTAAACCAGGATTATTTTTACATAATAAATATTTAATTGCTTTTCCATTGCATTAGTCCATAACAAAGCCAACAACAATCATCCCTTTCCCAAACCCTTTTTCAGCCCTTCCAGATCAGCTTTCATCAGCTCTTTAACATCCAGATTAAGGTGCCTTCTACCAAGTCACCAGACAAATCTATCAACTTAAGCATGAACTGCCCCTGCTCTGTCACACAGACACAAACTTAATTTGTCCAAATTCAGGTTTCTGCTTCTATCCAACACCTACCACTACCATCAGGGTGTAACCATAACATTTCCAATGGTAGTTTCTTCCTACAATCTTTATGTCCAAGCATTCTTCAACTTTAGACATGATTTTAATCAGCTCTTCAGAAGCCTGTGCTCCCTAAACTTCCTCCTGCTTAGGCTAACCAATTGTATATTATGAAACATGCTATATTTACAATGTTGCTGGTGATTTTTCATAACCAATATCATTAATCTCTAACCAAGTCCCAGAAAAATTTTTTTTTCAGAAACATGCAGACATGAGCATTTGGCTCCAAGCAGAAAATTAAAGGTATCTTTGCAACCCCATTCCCAAAGCCAAGTGATGACCAAAGGCTAATGAGAAAATCTCCAGGAATTCCTCCTGCTGTCTACTGCCAAGAGAAAAAAGACACCCCTCTTGTGACTTTTTTCAATGGATGCCAGGTCTGGTTTGAATTGTTGTCAATTTCTCTTCATCTTTTATTCTCCATTGCAATTCAACAGCAAACCCAAAACTTGAAACCAAATATATTTAAGCCAAGGTAGGAATCAATCTCTCACATGGCTGACAGAAGATGTGTACCTGATAGTAGCTGCATTCTCAATCTGAAAAGAGATGGAGGCAGGAGCAAATAAAGGACAGTAGAATAAACTAAATCAGGAAGAACAGAATTTGAACAAGCAGGATAATTTGTTTTTAACAATAAGCTAACAGATCGATCCGCTGGCAGAAAGAGTGAAGATAAACATTTAATAGTGAAAAGAAATGTGTTAATGGGATAGATCTGACTTGACATAAGTAAAGGGATAAGGAAAAGTATTGACTCAGCTTTGTTTGACAAGATAAAAACAGCTAGGAAAGATCAAAAAGATCACAGTGCAATGAAAACATATTTTCCAACAAGTGAAAGAATACAGGAATTTATTTTACTGCCTCATAAAAATGTATTAACATTTATGTCCCCTGGGGCATCTCTCATACTTGTTAAAAATGTAACAGTACTTGTGAAAAGTTTCTGATAGATTTTTTTTAATTTACAAAGTTGCTAAGAAAATAGTGACACAGAGGTTACACAATGCTATTGGAACTATGGCTTCAAACACATCGACCATGCAGAGACCAAGCATCTGATTATGGTCTGCAGTAAAAAATGAAGATGTGGTTTGAGAGAACAGGCAAGTACTACATAAAGTCAGAGCCCTCAAAAATGACAGGATTCTATGTATCTGAAGTAATCCTCAGATGCAAAAGGACTCAGAATCTGAAGTAATGGAAAATCAATAAGGGATCCTTTAGACCTACCATCCTAATCTTGTGCACTAATGTGCACATGTAATGAAAAATAACAAAGAATCAGTTATTTTGGAATTGCATCCTATGAAGTACCTTTTCACAAGTTTTTTTTTTTTTTCAAAAAGACAAAAAAAAAAAGAAAAAAGAAAAACCCCACAAACCTTTAACACAGGTTGGTTTGCTGACAGTGCTCTTTGATCCCAGTCCTAACTGCCCCCAGTCGTTACTGCCGAACATGTAGAGTTTGCCTTTCCCTGAAAAAAAATCACAGACAGAATCCATACAGGGGTTTGAACATCTCATTCCAGCCAAGATGGTCATTCACTCACAATGAACTTATTACTTCCTTTCTAATGTAAGGTTCAAGTTTAGGCAATTCAGTACATAAGTGTAAACAATAATTAATATCTTTGTGATTTTACAGTTCAAAAATAGTAATTGCATTGTTTAAGTAAGAAATCCCCAGCCAGAAGAAGAAACATCCTCATCTTTAATTACAGCACAGATGAAGTGCTCTTCAGAAAACATGATGTACTTTTGGGCAGACCCTGCAGTCCAGAAACCTCAGTATCTATAAAATAATATATAATGCCTTATAAAATAACAGCACATCTAACTGAGCACCCACATCTTTTACTCCAAAGACACGAATGAATAATGCAGCTAGTTGATAAATACAAGTACAGATTTGTAATATTTAACTTCTTTGATTGTTTAGGGTGGGATATTTCTTTTACTGCTAAATGTTTTTAAATTATTTACAAATATGCATTTCTATCAAATGTAGTTTCTGATAAATTTTCACAAACTGTATTAATTTGCTATTTTGCATATAAAGAGAGAATGTGTAAAGCCACCACACAGAGAGTTTTGTAAACCTAAATGCAGACATTAGTTACAAATGTTCAGCAGGGACAATGCTAGAATCACCTTTCAGAAGTTCCTAAATTCCTATGATGTGTCATTGGACTTGCATGTTTGACCACTGCAAACAAACTGTTACCATTCTGAACAATCAGTGTTTTTTTCTGAGGATGGTATATAAACAGATGAGAATTTTGTCATCTGGGATGAAAATTAGCCAAAACTGACTACTGACAATACCTTAAAATGAACTCATTTAATTTCATTTTTTTAAATTATCACACCTTGTAAAGTTGTAAAGTTCCCTGGAACTGGAAAATAAAACCCTTGTTCCAACAGAAATCTTTGCAAAACAACAGAAACTGATTTATCAAAAAAACTCACAACAAAACAACATCCTCTCCCCAAACTCCCACCCTTTCACAACAAATAAAAGGAGTTTTTTACTTCTGAAGGTGTGCAGAACTTTGTGCATTAGACTCCATCAGAATGTCACCCTAGACAGAAATTTGGTCATAGAGCTCGTCACCCTCATCATCTACAATTACCACAACCACAATCCACAATTGCAATTCCATATAATAATGCCAAAATAATATGGCTGTTCCCAGTGAAGGTTCTGATTGTGATTTACAGAAACTTTGAAACATGATATTGCAACGTTTTAAACATTACCAAAAATCCCATTCTAATAAAAATATCCATTCATTTTCTTAAATATAACCACATACTTAAAAAGAAAAAAACCACACCAGTGTTTATCTGTAACTAGTATCTAAAATCCTGATTGTTAGATTTTACTATTCTTGGCACGTGGGACTATGTGTCAATATTATGTCTTTCCAAGAAAGCTGGAAGGGAAGAAAGACAGAGGTCAAATTCATGCTCACAGTGTTCTACTAACAGGATTTATATCTCCATCCTAATTTTGATAATGCAATCATGTCAAACACATGCAGAGCTGTCCCTGACAGCAAACACACCTTAAACAGAAAGGATTTTTATCAGCAAATGACATCTATCCTATATTGGTAAGGCTTTCTTGTATCCTTGCTTTACACTTTCCAACTGCTTTCCTAAGACAGCAGTGCTTTTGTGGGAGTATGATGCCAAGCTGCCCTAATTCAATTTAAGCACATTCTCTTTTATCCATGCAAAATTCAAACAAGGTCATGCTTTTCATCCTATAATCTGCTGGGTTTTATATCTTTAAATTCTTAGGCATTGCTTTGTAAGTCAAGGAGCTTAATAGATGAGAGGAATTTTTCCACATTCTTTTATAACTGACTGACAGCCTTTTGTAATTTCAAGTTTCCTAGGAGTATAACAGAAAATAAGAAATCTGGGAAGCAGTTAATTTAGAAAGAGAATGAGAATTAATAGGCACTACAGAGGAACCTAAACAAATGCTCGTAATGAACAAACGTTTCAAAGTCTGTACAGCAAATCAAGTTTCAGAAGAGACATGACTCAATCTAAGCTGGCCAAGAAATCCAACATAATTTTGCAAGCAAAAGGCACAATTATCATAACTGCATACTGAGATATCCCAGCCATCACACAGATGCACTGAATCCAACAGCAGACAAATAGGCAAGAATCAAATTTCAAAATTTTGTAAACTCAGATTACTCTTGTTTTTTTTGCTTCTACTTTGGTGCCACCATCCAGAGTGTGGCCACCTGCCAGGTGGAATAGCTGGCACAAGAGAGAGTAAGACAAGGACTCTGGGCAGGAGGGAAACAACAGGATGCAATGAAAAGGCCTACTCAGACTGCTTTGGTGATAAAAACACACTTCCAACAGCAGCCTCCACCTTTATCCTGATGCAAAACTGAAGTATTTCTCCCAAGCATGTGCTCCCTGGCAGGTACACCAGCAGATGTTTCACCAGCAGCAATTCAGGGCTACCAGGGAAGCCACAAGACACTTCCATGTGTAGCAACAGAGGTTTTGTGGGACATTTCAGTAAGAGATTATCTCCCCCCTCATTTCTCATGAACAGTTGCTATCACAACTTGTGATTCCTGCAAGCCCACCAGTCATGTGCACTTGGTTCATGAAGTGCTTTTAAAGGCAATCATTGGGCAGTTGGGAAATATCAGCTGGAATCCCATATGCTTTGTCATAGCAGGCAGCCAAATACCCTAATCACCTATGTTTAAATGTATGTTTTACATATTCCCCCCCTTTCTTTTTAAATTATATGGGTATGGGAGAGAAATAAGATGGGGAGGCAATGTACAGGCCTTGAATATTTACTACAAGATCGTTCTGAGAAACTGTATCTGAATAAAGCATAAAAGGCAGTATTTTGACCAGAGTAGCAAATGCCAAGGAACCACGACTATTTTAAAAATTATTTTTATTTGAGCTATTTAGTGAATAAATTATGTTAACAGTTGATTTAAAACTCATCTAGAAGTCAAATAAATACCAGGAAAATAAGAATGGCATCAGTTTTGTTAGGCAAGTCATGATATTTTCAGAAACTTTATTGAGCAACAAGCACAGTCATGCTTAGGACATTTGGCATCACACAAGCAAAACCAGCACAGAACATTGCTTGTTCACATACATCAACACAAATGTGTACTAATCTTTCTCATCCTCCCCTTGCAGTTGATGCAAAAAATATTGTGCCATGTTCTGATGACCTACTGGTAAGCAGAAAGAATAGAGAAAAACTGGTGACAAAACACCTGGAGGGTTTCCAAGATCTCTGTTGAGTGCTTAATGCCTTACAAAACCTGAAATTATGTATACTATCTTCTTGTGGTTCCATATGCACCTTCCACTTCCACTTTTGCAACTGATACTTCTTTCTTTCCTTCTGCTTTCTTGTGTTGGGGGCTTCAATTCTCTCCAGGGCACTGAGTTCAGAAAAGGCACCTTCATTCATCAGCACTTTCCCCCTTGTGAACAGGATCAGTCTCTGATCAAATGTGGTTAAGCGGCCTAGGATACTCTAATCAAGGCAAATAAACAGTAAGATAGCTGTTAAGTTTGAGGGTTTTGTAGGAAATAAAATTTAATACACAGGCATTGGAATGAGGTCTTAAAAGTATGCATATTCATACTTCTTCACACCAGCTCCCATGAGGATGAATTAATTGCTTTCCAAAGCCTGCAGTTATAGAAGATGCAGGGGACAAGTATTCTTGGGCCAAAAAACACAGAAATGAGGCAAGAACCATTATGAAACATGTTACAAGTGATGGTGGAATATATATTGCTCATCACTGCATTAAAGACCTAAAGAAGATCACTGCTTAAAAAAATTCCTGCTTGGACATTTTAATCAAGGTTATGCCAATGGTAGACAGCAAAAGAATAAAGAAACACAAATTTCAATCCTAAACTTCCTTCCTGGAGAAGAAAACATTTCAACTAGCTCAGCAAGCCAACTCAAAGTCAGCAAGTAACTATCACTGGTCCCTTCAATTCCAACATGCAGCTAAAGCATGTAAATAAAATTTTGGACTCTTAACTCCTGACTTAGAAATGCAAAGGATGGAGTGTTTTATATTTCTTTCATACTTGTCTTTATAAAAGTCATATGGGAATATTGATGCTGGATTAGATGAAAGAAGTATTTGAAAGGTTCTGAATATTTTGTTTGAATGCTAAATATCAGTTCTTGTACATTTTCTTCATTAGTATTCAGTCAAGATTTAATGCTAGTTGTAGCCATCTCTCCTGCCCAAGTCCAGCATTAAGGAAGGATTTGTATCAGTTTGGGTGATTGTTTTATTTAGGATTGTTGAGCCCCGTTAACTGTAAAATTGGTATACTTCTCAATTTTAATCTACCTCATATTCCTACTGTCCTGTACAAATTTACCTCCCACTCCCTCTTTCAAGGTGTGGGAAAAAAAAGGAAGGGGGAAACTTTGGGACCTGCAACTAAAGACTGAAGGTAAAATGAAGCATGCATTAACACACACCTGCTTGAGATATTTTCCTTCCTTGGTGATGTTTGCCTTTTATCTCTTCCATGTCAGGTTCAGCTGAAGAAGCTCCTGGTCTCCCTTCTCAGTAAACTCATTATCAGCATGAGCTTCGGGACCATTTATTCCAGCTGTTACTGCAGCTCAGGGTCATTCCCAAGGGCTGTATCATCCAATCCCACCTAACTGCAGAAATGTGAGGTGCACATGGGCATGCACTGGTGTGAAGAACAAATGAGGGAGAAGAGCTTTTTCCTTCCTTCTTCACTTCTTTTGTATGATGACTCTTGCAGTTTCTCTACCTTTGCTTGTTGTTGATTCACGCTTTGCTCTCACTTTTGCCTTTACTTTACAATGACCCAGAAAACCTTTTGCTACCAAAAATGTCTTTTTCTCATGCTTCTACAGTTCCTTGAGGGCAAAAGCTTTGAGGAAATAAAGATCTCATAATCTAGAAGCCTCCCTGGTGATGTACCTGCCCACTGCAACAGCTAGGGCCAGCTATAGAGACATTTTTGAAACAAGCTGCATATACTAAAGTAATGGAGAGAAGGAGAAATTATACAGAAATGGTGCTGCATGAAAATCTCTGCAAAATGACTTCTTCAAAAGCTTTATCTAAGTGGTCACTATTACAGTGATGTGGGCATTAGGGGATTGTTGCTGACTGGGGTTAACAGTGCTGAACCAGGCATTTAAATTTACTGGTTTAAATTTAAATTTACTGGTTTAAACACAGAACTATACCTGTGTTATTTCAAACTGGGTGTGGGCATATAAAAGTATATGTAAAAAGGAAATGCAAAAGGAAAATGCCACAGTGCCCCAGGTAACATCGAGATTAATTCAATGCAACAGGTAATTTAATATTATTGGTTCAATCCAAGAAGAAGTGCCAAGCTTTGTTCAAAATAAACTATTAATGTATAACTCATCTGCCGTGAAGTTAGGCTTGAAAAATTCATCATGTAATTTCACCTCAGGGTGTTCTGCAGCCCATGAAATCTATAGTCTTTTTTATCTTGCCTGGAATAGTTCTTTCTAAAAATTCAGCATCTTCAATGTTGCTTGTGAACATTGCAAGAAACCCTCAGGAAATTATTTAACACGCAACAACCAATTGGAAATTGATGAGCAATAACTACATTCCAATTTTAAAAGTCCTGAAAAGACACATATATTTTTTTCAACAACAAAGTCTTATTATCTGTCAGCAGTTGATTATCAATACAACCATCACACATGCTCATCCACAGAAGAGTAGTTCCTTCCATGTAAAATAAAATGAACAAATTCTTTAAAGAGTATTGTTTCCATCATTTCAAATAAAAGAAAAAAACATTAATGATGCTCCCTCTATTATACCAGAGTTTCTTTGAATACTTTTTCCATTTATTTCTGATTTTTGTAGGATTTTCTGAAATCCTTTATTGAGTTGCTCTTTCAAGGGCTGTTCTCATTTGACAGGTAACAGTAATTCCAAGCTTAATTTGAGAGATACAATTATTGTTTCAAGGAGATTTCTAGTGAACTTGTGGTGGTCAGCAGTTACTGTTACTTCCATGATACAATATATGTAACATACTAAACACTGTCAGACTCACCAGAAACATTCACCCTGAATTAAGTTATGTTTAGTTTAAATCCTATTATATTCTCAGTTGTTACAAACTTCCTCCAGACATCTCTTGGGCAAGTCCTGTGAAAACCTTGGTTTTCACCAAGGTTTAGACCAAAGATTGGGAAAAATTTCTCCATGGAACAGGATGCCCAGGGAAGTGGCTGTGTCCCCATCCCTGGAGGTGTTCATAGATGTATAGATGTGTTTATCTATAGATGTATAGATGTGGCACTTGGGGACATGGTTTGGTGGTGAACTTGGCAGTGCTGGGTTAATGGTTGGGCTTGATAATCTTAAAGGTCTCTTCCAGGCTAAACAATTCTGATTCTATATCCTCCATTTCCAATACTGACCTGTAATAATAGCTGTATGTTCATCTCCACAGGATATAAGTACAGGCTTGTCATTTTTGAACCAGAACTTGCTAGGAATATCTTCTGCAAATTTGCTTTTCCCAAATGTGAAAACAGCACCTGACTCTGAAACACAAAATGATGTCAGTTTTAGTGAAAGCAAATTTTACCTCACATATTTTGAAGTAGATATGCTGTATCAATTCAGTGGCACATCTTATTTTCTTATCTTTCTCTTCTTCCTTCTCTCAGCCTTCAAAACATGGGTTGGCAAAACTCTCATTTCACCCAAACAGGAGGAGGAACTTTCCTGTGTGAGTGGCAGAGCACTGGAACAGGCTGCCCAGAGAAGCTGTGGAGTGCCCAGCTCTGGAGATACTCAAAACCTGTCTGGAGGTGATCCTGTGCGACCTCCTCTGCCTGAACCTGCCTTAGCAAGGGGGTTGGACCAGATGGTCTCCAGAGATTTCTTCCAAGCCCAGCCATTCTGTGATTCAGTGGTAAGACCATGATCTAAAAAGTCCAAACAAAACCACCCCAAAATAAAGTCCAAGCAGCTCTTCAGGCTTTGTAGTTTGCCTGATTTCTTCAATTCTTCACGCTCTCAAATGTGTTAGCAACATAGTTGCTAAAACAAAGAATGGTAACTATTTGTTCAGCTTTTGGTTAGGCATGTGGTTTGGCAGAAAATGCCAATCCTACAGAAAAATACATGAACTTACAAGTTAAATAATTTGTCAAAACCCTTGCAGACAATGGCAGCTCAGATATAAAAGCTCAATTAGACTTCCAATTTTAAAATGTCAAAGCCTGTGCTATAAAATAGAGATGTTTTTAAAAACAAAACCAAGAATAAACCTTTTCCTTGTAAATTTTGTTAGCATGTAACACATTAGGAAATACACACAATAACAGTAGACTGTTTCTGAAAATTACATTGAGACAACATAGTGCTTTAAATTTCAATGAAAACAATCTCATCAACAATATGTACCCCAGCTCCAAAACCTAAAAGTTCTTTCTTAAACTGTATATTTGATTTGCATTTAGAATAATTATTTAATGCAAAAGCTTCCCCTATTTCTAAAGATGTTATATTATACATCAGATAGAGCAGACATGTACAAATTGCACTTATTGCCTCACAAGATGTGCTTTTCACTTTCACTTGCTCAACAAGCTTTGTATAGACAAACTCAAGCCTTTTTAAAGGAGAAGTTGAGTTTTTTCCTTATTTTACCTGGTCACACTTATAACTACAGACAAGCTAAACAGCATCTGAAATCTCTGTTTGAAGTTTTCATGTCCAGCCAGACAGCCATGCACTTCTGAACTTTCTTAGCAATCTCTTCAGCAGGTAGAGAGCTCTCTGGTTCATTTCTTTTCCCTTCAGAAGGGTTAACATGAAAACATTTTATATTCTTTATTCAATGCATACAAAAAGCTGATACATTTTCCAATGCCTTTTGTATCTCGTTCATTTGACTAAGCCACAACATCTCATGAGTGAACACAACTACTGTGCCCTATTCTGGGCTCCTCAGTACAAGTGAGACGTGGAGCTCACAAAGTGGGTCCAGGGGAGCAACAATGATGTTTGGGGGACTGGAGCATCTCTCTTATGAGGAAAGGCTGAGGGATTTGGGCCTGTCCAGCCTTGAGAAGAGATTGTTTACAGGGAACCTTAATGTGTATTTATACACACCTAATGTGTATAAATATCTGAGCCCAACGGGTGCCAAGAAGATGCAGCCAGGCTCTGTTCGGTGATGCTGAGCAATAGGACAAGAGGCAATGGGCAGAAACTGATGCTCGGGAAGTTCCATGTGAACAAGCGAAAGAAATTCCTTCCTGTGCAGTGACTGTGCGTGGTGAGGAGTCTTCCTCACTGGATATACCCCAGAAGGGTCTGGACACAATCCCGTGCCATGTGCTGTGGGATGACCCTGTTGGAGCAGGGAGCTGGGACCAGACAAGCCGCGGCGGTCCCTTCCAGCCTGGCCCATTCTGCGCTTCGGCGCTGCCACTGAACCCCATTAACTCGGTAACTTTGGAAACTGAACCCACCAACTCGGTAAATTCAATCCCACAGGACATACACGAGGCGTTTGTTATCCCAGCAACGAGGCAACGATTGAACATTACCCTGGGCCAAACCGCGACACAAACTAACATTAATGCTCCGAATTACCCGCGTCCCACCGAGTGCCGGCGCTGCCCCCCGGCCCCGCCGCTGTCGGGGCTGCCCCGTCCGAGCTCTGCCGGCAGCGAACGCGTCTCTCCCCAGACACAGCCAGGCACCGGCCCGGCGCGGGGCCCGGAGCCGGGGGAGCCCTGCGGGGTGAGGCGGGCAGGGGCCGGCATAGGCAGACGCACCGTCCCCCCGGGGAGCGGCCGCACTCACCGGGCACGGGCAGCTCGGTCCCCGCGGCGGGAGCGGCCATGGCGGCCGGGAGGAAGCCCCGCCGGGACGGGGGCGCCGGGGCGCGGGCAGCGCCGCCTGGCGGCCGGCGGGGGCGGCACCGGGCCCGGCCGGGCCCTGAGGGCGGGCGCGGGGAAAGGCCGGGCACAAGGCTGTGGTCACGGCATTGCAGGATGGGCTGTGCTGGGAATAGGGAAAGGCGGGTACGGCATTGCCACAGGATGGGCTGTGCTGGGAATAGGGAAAGGCCTGACACAGGGCTGTGGGCACGGCATTGCAGGTTGGGCTGTGCTGGTCCTGGGACAGGGCTGTGGGCATGGCATTGCCACAGGATGGGCTGTGCTGGGCACGGGGAAAGGCCTGGCACAGGGCTGTGGGCACGGCATTGCAGGATGGGCTGTGCTGGGCCTGGCACAGGGCTGTGGGCACGACATTGCAGGATGGGCTGTGCTGGGCCTGGGACAGGGCTGTGAGCATGGCATTGCCACAGGATGGGCTGTGCTGGGCGCAGGAAAAGGCAGGGCACAGGGCTGTGGGCACAGCATAACAGGATCAGCTGCGCTGGAAACAACATCTGGGATCACCAGCCACCTTGGCACCTTGGCACTTATTGCCACATCCAGTTTCCTTAAACATCTGCAGGGACGGTGGCTCCAGCACCTCTCTGGGCAGCCGGCAGTGGGGTGGCATTGGGCCCAGCACAGGGCCCTGAGCTCCCAGGGAAAGCTTCTCTATGAAATTGACCCCCACAGTGCCCAGGCAGTGCCCTGAGGACCCTGGACCTTTTGTTGGCCAGATGGATACCTGTATCAATACCGATGATCTCCCTTTCTCTCTTACCACTTTTTTTAAAATTATTCTTTTATTTCTCTTGCTGCTAGGAGATAAGGAGGTAACTTATACCAATTAACATATATAATTTAGGAATAAAACTTTTTAAGTTGTTTTGGACCCTCTGGCATTTGCTGTTCCTTTTCAACTGCAGGCAACTGTAAATATTGGTTGTCCCCTTCCTCTTAGGTGACACTCATTCACAGGAGCTTCCTATGAAATTGGTCCATGTGGGAATTGGGGTCAGGCAGCCTCAGTACAGGGGTGTGCTGGATTGGCTTTCACTGGACACCAGGTGCTCACCAAGACACTTCATCTCCACCCCTTCTCAGCTGGACAGGGGAGAGAAGACAGGAAGCATAGGTTGAGAGAAGGCAGTTTCCAAAAGCAAAAAAGAAATGTTTCATGCACAAAAGCAAATTTAAAAAACAAAGAATTTTTTCCCTTCTTCCCATCAGCAAGTGATGTCCAGACAATTACCAGGACGTAGGATTTGAGCATCTCACCTTTGCTCCAGAAGACACATATTGTAAAATAATGAATGTTCCCCCTTCTGCCTCCCTTCCTTAGCTTTTCTATCTGAGCTGGCATTACATTATATAAAATATCCCTTTGGTTAAATTGGGTCAGCTGTCCTAGCTGTGTCCCCTCCCAAGAGCTTGTCCACCCCCAACCTACAGATGGATGAGAATTTGGAGGGACAGCATTGGTGCTGTAGCAGCACTGCTCAGCAGTACCCAAAACTCTTGGGGTGGCATCAGCACCTTTCCAGCTGCCAGTGCAGAGCCCAGCACTGGCAGGGCTGCTGTGGTAAAATGAGTCCAGCTCAGCCAGACCCAGTCCAAGGTGTGACCTGACAAAGGCATCAGCAGTGTCCCCTCCCTGGGAGGCTGCAGGTGGCACTGGAGCCCTGGGCACCTTGGCCACATTTGCTTTGTCTGCTGTCTTTTCTTTGGAGCATCACTAATGGCACAAGCTCGATCTCAGGGGCTGGGCTTGAAAGTCATGGGAGTCATTTGCCAGAGGATAACCAAGAGGGAAACTGTGGCCTGTCATTTTTCTCTTTCTACTCTTTCTTCCCTTTCTTCCCTTTCTTCCCTCACTACTCATTTGTCTAGGATTTTACTTCTGTTTGACATTTCCCCTGGCAACTGCTGCATTTCCCAAGCATCTCAGGGTTGGTTCAGCATGAGCAAATCCCACCAGGAGCTATCACCCTGCATGATGTTTTCACAGCTGTCTGTCTTTCTCAGGAGTCAAACTTTTCTTCTGTATGTTTTAATTATAAGTTCCTTGAATTGTAATTTCAAGGTATCACCCTCTCTGACAGATATGCCATCACCTTGATTTACCCTAGTGAGTCTCTCTTTACAGGGAGGAAGAAATGAGAAAGTAATGGTCATATTTCAAAACCACTTAGAGTGCACGTGACATAAAATCTTATCTGACAATTATATTTGAAGGTAGAAACTTAAATTAAATCACTTTAGTATTTAGCAACTGACCTACTTCAGATTATACAGCAAGCAGTTTAGCCTAAGGAAGGAGGCAGGCTGCAGTATTATACTTTCTGGGCCCACACTGTTGAACACTACCACAGCATAATTGAGAACTTGGTCCAAAACAAAAAAAAAACCCAAAAAACAATTTCACACACACCCCCCAAAAAAACCAACCAACCAAACAAAAACACCAAAGGGAAAAACCCAAATAAACAACAACAACAAAAAAATCAGAAAAATAAACCACCAAAAAAAACCCCAGGAAAATGTAAATTTCTTTAATGCAGACTACTTCATTCTTGTCAGGGCCCCAAAAGCATGAATAAATCTTTATGTCCTGCCCAGTTCCTCAGCCAAGGACCCAGAACCCTCATTTAGGCTCAGCTTAGGTCCAGCAGTCCCTGCCTGGGCTGTGCTAAAGCCCCTATGGCCACAGTCCCATCCCCTGCTCATGCTGATCCCGCAAGTCTTCTTTTGCCTTTTTCCATCAGCACATGCTCCTGTACAAATATTTAACCCCAAATAGCTATGAAATAGTATTGACACAGGTGTGATATGACATGATGAGCCCACACAGAAGAACACAAACTGCGAGTGGTGCAATGGGCCCTGGGAGAAATCTCTGTATCTGTAGAGTTTGACCAAAGAAAAGGTTCAGGGTCAGCCCCAGCCTGGCCCAGCCCTGGCTGAGACAGCCAAAACAAGGACCTTGGTTCTTGGCTTTTCCTCATTTGCACAGCAGCACAGCTCACTCTCTGCTTCCTACACCTTCCTTTCTCATAACTTTATTTGTGGATTAAGAGAAGTCTTAATGCAGACAGAAGATGCTGTTTAACAGGAGGAATTTCATCAGTATTGCAAAACTAGCAGGGACCAGCAAGCAGCTGCTGCGACAGTTTTGGTGAGCTTATCTTTTAATTTTATCTGGTGTGTGGAGTTTGGTCAGAAACCTGGAGCCAAAAGCAGCAGAATCCTGTGAAGGAGTGAGTGTTTTCGAGAAATGCTCTAGGAGGCTTTTCCCTGCAATTTTAGTGTCCTTTTACCTCACCAGCCAGCAAGCTCTGTGACTTCAGGGGACTGGGGTATCATCTGTTTTTAGTGTTTGTGAAGTACCATTAATTTGTTCTGTGGGATTTAGCTGCCAAGTCAGGAAGGAATGTTTATTCTTCAGGTCAGTGTGTGCTGCAGCTATTGTAACCAGTATATAACTAGTAAATAATCTGAATAAAGGTGATCTATCTGCATTCAGACATGTATTGTAGCCAGTTTGGGTGGGGAATTCTCTCCTTGAAGCTGCAAGGTGAATCTCTGACTCATTATTTTGTGTCTGTATATACCCTGGAGGCATGCAACAAAAGCATGATGTGATGGGGGATTCAAAGTCAAGCAGGCAGACCTGCCTCTGTGACCTGGCTTTGGGTTCTTTCTGCACCCACATAGCTGTGCCTGCCCCCCCAAATTCAGGAAAGTTCCTGTATGACAGCATTTCACTAAGCTGCTTCTCAGGCTTGTCACATCTCCAAAATCAGGTTAAAATTTTAGAGCTGAAAGTCAATTCCATGTTTTCTCATGGTTTTAGGTCAGCTTCAATAAGAACAGAATTAACACTTGTTACATAACAAGTGATTAGTTCTAGAAAATAATATGCATAAATTTCACATTCACAGGAATCCTAATATGCAGTAAGTAATTTTTGTTTATAATTTCTACATTACATCATATGAAAACCAAATGTTTTCCAAATTCTATAATTTATTTGCTACAGATTTAGCGCAGTCCTAAATGCTGGATGTTAATTTTCTTATGAATTTTGGATTTTTACTGCAGCCAGTTGGGAAATTTCTGCAGCTCACAGAGGTGATGGAAAAACAAGTTTGGAAAACAACTGTAGTAAAGCTGGTTTTCCAAGGAAGTAATCCGATTTGTTCAGTTCTACACACAGCATTTTTATTTTTGGTGGTTTTTTTAACATTATAGCATAACATTGGCATAAACTATCACCACTGTTTGTGGGTATTCCCAGCTAATCACACTGTGTTTGATACTGCAGGATAACCTAATGTCTCTCAGTCTGTGCTAAGAGTCCAAAGTTATGTGTCCCTCCTCAGAAAGGAGGAAGCCAAAACTGCTTGACCTTGCAATTCTGCCCGTTACATTTTAACTTTGGTATGTTGTCTCATGATCCTTCTCTGGAATTAATTTTTCCACTTCTGCCCCTCTTTCACATATGGATAACAGGGAAGGGAGTAAATTTCTTGGAGGTCATAGCAATAAAACAGAATCTTCAAGAGGTCAGGAGCAGATCTGTGGTCCAACTTTCTGCTTGCAGCCTGTCAAACACCATATGGGAGCAGCTATGCCTTTGCTTAGGCACCTCTTGAAAATACTTAAGGATGGTAATTCCAAATCCTCTCCAGCAACAAATTTAAGTGCTTCACTATCTGCCAGTGGAGAAAATAGTGATGAATATTTCTCAGTCCACTTCTCAATCATGCCAGATGGTGAAACAAGAGCAATGAACAGAAGTTGTTGTTTGGCAAGTTGAGATTAGATAATCTCTAAGTCCCTGGAAGGAATTGCAGGCTGAAATGAGAAAAACAAGGAGCAGCCCCAAAGCTGTTCTTGAAATAAGAAGAGTAGGAAGTAGCAAGAAATTGCATAGATTTTAAAGCAGGACAAGTTTGGTTTTTTCCTCACAAACAAGTTAAAAAAGCAAATCCCTGTTCTGAAAATGTAAAGTAATTAAAGAAGTTCCAGTTATAAAACTATTTTCCTTTAGAATATGTACAGTGAAAATTAAAGTAAACCCCATGATTATAAACTGCTGGTATTAAAACTCTTGATATATAAGAGTGGATTTCAGTAGCTTATCTTGGTGGGCTGTTTTTCATGGTGTGGTAGAAACTACCTGATCCATGAAAGACCCTACACTTGCTCCCATTTTCTTCCTCCCTCTGTTTTGAGCTGTGAGTGTGATTGAAAATGTCCAGCAGACAAACATTTCCCATCTGCTCTGAGAGCCCAAGGCTTTGGGACCTTGTCACTGCACCTGCCCAGCTCCCTTGGGAGGCACTGCAGAAACAGCAGCCCAGGAACCTCAGTAATTCCCCTCTGTGATCCATGGCACACCCTGCAATGGTCTGGAATTCCAGTTTCCAGCAAGGAAAAGATGTTCCTGCCCTCTAAGGCAAAGCTCTGAAAGGACTGAAATCCAAGTGGAGCAGGATCTTACAATGACATTTCACTGCCAGCCTTCATGACTTAACTCAGGGTTGTTTCAGCACATGGACTGGGGAAAAAAATCAGGGGAGGGTTTTTGGCTGGAGCTGCCATGGGTAAAGACAGATACTGTGAAAGGAACAGCAGGCAGTGAAAGGCAGAAGAGAAAGGAGGACACAAAGAGCACTAAGCTTAGAAGGTGCCACTCTGAAAATCAAATCAGAACCTACTGAAAAGGAATGGGGCAGAAATAAAGAATTTGGAAAGCTCTGAAACGGCTTAAACCCAATTGAACAAGAGTCCTGAGGGACAGCCCTCATCCCTGGCCTGCAGTGCACATGGAGCCCCTGCCCACAAGTCCCTGGCTGTGTCCCTCTGCCCAATGCTTTGTGCCCTGCTTAGCCCACCCTCCAAAGCCAGGGCTCTGCACTGTGGGGCTCAGGCTGTTGTGTGGGATTGTGTCCAAAGCCTCATGGGGGTATTAATGGGCATATTTTCCTAGCTGTGGACTTCAGGGCTTGGCAATTAGCAGGTGCTCCATCTGAGCCTAGTCTCAATGGTGAGCTAAAGGGAAATATAAAACACAAACACAATTGGAAATAGAAAAGTATTAACTGCACTCAGTCCACTTTTTTGCACTGCTTTGGTCTCCATTTCATTCGATTAGTCTAAAAATTTTGACTTTAAATAAAATACATGTTTAGCTCATACCCTTCGAAACCTTAGCAAGAGCACAGTGTGGGCTGTGTAGTGATAAGGAGGGCTCTAAGTACAGGGCCAAAAAGGGCTGAACTGCCACACTTCCCTGTTAACCTTTAGCCTGTGAAACAGGGGCTTGGACAAGACTTTCATTAAAATGCCTCATTTAATCTAGAGGAAATTTGATCATGTAACTTCTGTGGGTGATTATCAACATCCAATTTCACGTGATTCTGAAGTCCTAAATCTGGATGGAGGCCAGAATACGCTGAATAAACACCACATGTCCAGAATGTCTCGTGTGGTACAGCAAGGCTGTTTTGTTGGGCTTTTTTACCCTTTTCCCCAATGTAATGAAGAGATTTCATACACATTTTTAGAAATGTCACCTTTTGTGAGAGTGGGATTGGAATGTGGCAAGTGTCTACTCATGCACACAGCAAAAAGGGGGAGAAACAGCACCAAGATCCATTTCTGTTGTTCTGTTCCCAGCTTTGGGGCCTACACATAAGTCATTTTTCCAGGTTCTGAATGGCTTTGTTTGAGAGGCAGCATGCAGTTGCCATATACATTTCAGAAGACAGAAGAAATCACATCTAAAGTACATTTTATAACACAGTTTGAAACATTGTTACAGTGGCCATCAACGTAGTGCATAGTGGCACGTGGTGCCTGTCTGACCACATCTGTTAATTATTTAAACTAATTAACAATGTCTGTCAGGATGATCCAGCTGGGTCATGTGAGGGGAGTGGGAGAGATTTCAGGTCCTTTGTCACTGGCTTTAGCACATGTATAATCTAGCATTGAATGGCAAAGAATTACACATTTTCTGCTCTTTTGACACAGGTATGGGACACCAGCTCAAATGAATGCTGATCTGAAAGGTCGGGATCTCCTTACTCTACAGAACTACACAGCTGATGAACTGAAGTATTTGCTGTGGATGGCATCAGATTTGAAACAAAGGATAAAGCACAAAGGAGAGGTAAAATGATTTATCTGTCATTTAGGTCCCTCAGATGTTGAAATAAATACTGTTCTGAAGGGTATTGTGAAAAAGCCTTTCAGCTGTCATGTCCTAATCAAAATCTCCTGAGGTCTTAAATACTGTAAATCATGTGCTGCAAATCAAAGAACCTTCCTGCAAAGTGCCCAGAGATATTATTTAAACACTTCAGAGGACTTTGTGAGTGGAAAGGTTAAACAGGTTTGTACAGCAAGCTCCCTGTTGTCAGATAACCCCATCCATCCACACATGCAGCACTAAATGTAGAAAACAAAGACACTTCCCTGCATGGGATTAAATTAGTATCTGAGTTCTCCTTAATACTGGCTCAAATTGAGTGCCAAAATGCAGTTGCTTTTGGGCCTAGAATTACTTCTTTGCCTTTAACCTTTCCACTGCTAGTAAATTTATTGAAGGGCAGGAGAACAAAACAGGTAAAAAACCCCACTTTTGCAACTTTTCTAATGATGAATTAAAATATGCAAGAAGTATTTCATAGTTTAAAGACTATAATGATTATAAAATTGAAATCACTTCATTTTTCATGTTTCAGTATTTGCCTTTGATGCAAGGCAAATCTTTGGCCATGATTTTTGAGAAGAGAAGCACAAGAACAAGATTATCTGCAGAAACAGGTTGGTCTGACTAATGGCACAGTGAGACTTTATGTGAAACTGTATACATTGAGTATGTACTGAAAAACAATGCATGATTTTGCATTTAACAATTTCTACTCAGGAGACACCTAAATTTTGAAAGCAAAAATAAGAAAAGAATGGTGGCTGTTTGTGTTTCACCTTGCATATTAATTTCACATGACTTTGGTCACTGAAATTTTGACAAATCTTCCAAAACATGGTAGATCAGAAATAAGCATTTCTGGTGTAAGCTCCCAGCTGTACTTGCAAGATGTACATTTCCTAACATCTACTTCAGTAAGCATGAGAAATTTAATTTTTTGAAAGCTCTAATAAATATTTTTCTAATGTAATATGCATTACCATTGTTACATTTCAAAATATGTGCTTAGGCTGGGAATACAGTAATGCCTTGATATAAATTCAGGGGAAAAATTAACATGATTATCTACAGGGGAAGATAACTTGATGGAGACTCAAGGATATTAGCCTAATCATATGAGGCATTGGAACATTTTTCTTTTGGGTTACAGTCCTGAAACACTGAAACATGTACCTATGGTATCTTTATTTACATGGTAATTGTTCTGAATTCAATGACACTGCTGAAATAAATCACTCATCAATCAATCAATCAATCAATCAATCATTCCCAGCAAGAAATAACTCTGAACTGGTGATGCATAAAGGAAGAACTTGCTCTTCTCTCATTTAAGTTGACCCAGCATGCCTCACTTCTCCCTAGTGAAGGAACAGGAAATCTGTTGAGTATTCACATTCTTTACAAGTTGTAAGAGAGAAGGTAAAAAATAATGGAAGGAAGAAGCAGATACATTAATTCCAAGCATTTCTGAATTTGCCTTTGTATTGTCTGGCACAGCCATTTGCCTGCTGATCCTGCTCTTTAAGCAGACACGTTGTTGCTTTCTGTTTTCTCGTGATAATGAAGACTTACTAATGTGTGTTCCCTCTCTGTGAAGACCACTCACCTTTTAATTCCTGAGTTTTTAGTCCAGTTTCTTGTTTCCTGCCATCCTGGTGTATGGCCAGGTAGTGAATTCTCTGGATCTGTTTATCCTTCATTCTTCTGTGTTCTGAGGGAAACACTGCTTAGTCCTTGGCTTTTGAAGGCTTATGGAAGGGGGAAGCTCAGGAAAGTTCAAATGAATTAACTTAAGGATGGGAGCTAATGCACATAAATTCATCCAAGGGAGAATTAAGCTCCAGTAAAATTTATTTCTAAGTGAGAGCTTCCACAAGAGAGTTTAATGCAGTTTAGCTTCTGTGCATTAACTTCACACCTTCAGTTAATTGCTCTTAAGTCTGTTAAGCCTAAGACTTTGCTTCAAAGGCAGACTCAAGTTTTTTCTGTCCACAAAAACTCTATACATTTCAGCTGCTTTTTTAACATAAATGATTCCCTCCTTGGAATTTCTAACTCAAAACAAATGTGGAGCCACATGTGTTCCTTTTAGCTAAACAAGATAATTTAATACCCATTTTCTAATGTCTAGTGAAAGTGGACAATTGCAGTGGATTGAAATGTGTATTTATAAAGTTCCCGAGTCATCTCAAATAGCTCTTCCCAAGAGTTGCCCCTTCAATAACTTGAGCGAGGTCACTTGTAGGGCAAGGTCCTGGGGAGGAGATTAATCTAAACAAACCTTGCAACTCCCAGGAACTGCTAAATCAGTGCATTTCATTACAGAGCAGAGACTTGGAAAGCACTGATTACAAAATCTTCCTTGTGCTATGTCTAGGAGTTTGTTGGGACATGCTAACATCATGGAAGAGTTTTCAGAATTCCTGCTGTCCCTATGCCTATAAAGAATGACATTATTGAAAAAAGAAATAAACAGAATGGTTGAAGTTGGAAGTAATCTCTGAAGGTCGTCTGGTCCAATCCCCTGCTCAGGGAGGGTCTTATAGAGCCAGTTGTCCAGGACCATGTCCAGAAGCCTTTTGAATATCTCCAAGGATGAAGATTCCACAATCTTCTGTGGCAACCTATGCCATTGCCCAATCAGCTTTTCAGTAAATAAAATTTGTTATTCAGAAGGATCTCCCCAGTTTGTGCCCATTGCACCATTGAAAAACACCTGGCTCTGTCTTCTTTGCCTCCTCCTTCAGGTGTTTATAAACATGAGCAATATTCACTCTGAACCCTCTGTTCTCTGGGCTGTGCTGTCCCAGCTCTCTCAGCTTTTCTTCTTGTCTCAGTTTGGAAAGACAGGACTCTGTTAAGGAAGGCAGGAGCCTCTCCTGAAATGGAGAATGTAACCCCTCCCCACCCCTCCGAATTGCTATAAATTTTAAATTAAGGGGCTCTCAGGCAAAAAATATGGGAGCAGGAAATAACAGTTCTTTAATAGGGAAAAAAATAAAAGGATAAAATAAACAATGCAGTACACTAGAACAACACTGACAAAGTCAGAACCCAACCTGACACCCTGTGGGTCAGGGTGTTGGTGGCAGTCCCATTGGAATTGTGGCTGCAGCCCTCCTGCAGTGTCAGGGATGGTTCTGCTCGAGCAGGGATCCTGTAGAAAAGGGTGTAGTCCTCCTCCAAAGATCCAGTGGAAGTAGAGGCAGCTGCTGTTCCTCTGGGATATCCAGTGGAGAAGCCATGCAGTTATTCCAGAACCTCTGGATTATATCTGGGTAGGAATGCTTGGCTCCTCCCTCTGGGCAGAGCATTTCACAATGGGATGTTGTAGATCTTATCAGTCATGCAGTGACATTCAATAGCTGTTATCAGCAGATGTCCCCTCCCAAGAGAGGAGTGATTGTGATCACTCAGAGCGAGATAAGGCAAACTGCCCACTTGACAAAAGACAACTGCCATATAGATGGTAATAGAAAACATCTTGCATTGCAATCTGGAACACTTCTCATATGAAATATGCTTTAGTCCCTCAGCCATTTCTGTTAGCCTTTGTTAGCATGGACATCCCAACTGTATCCCCTATAACAACATTTCTCATACTGAGGACCCCAAATCCAGACTCTTGAGGTCACCAGTGCTGTATAAAGAGGAAAGATCACCTTCTTCCACCTTCTGGCAGTATTTGTCTGGTGCAGTCCAGGACACTATTTACCACACCTGCTGGAAAGGTACACACACTGCTGCATCATGTTCAATTTGCTGTCCACCAGGACCCCCAATTCCTTTTCTGCCAGGCTGCTCCCCAGGTGGGAGGCCCCCATCACATCCTGGTGCAGGGGCTGTTCTTCCTCAGGTGCAGGACTTTGCATCTCTCCTTGCTGAACTTCATGGGGCTCCTGTCAGACCATTGTTCCAGCCTGTCAAGATCCCTTTGGACAGCAGCATGACCCTATGATGTACCAGCTACCTCTCCTAGTTTTGTGTCAACAGCAGAATTGCTGAAACCACACTTGGTCATCGAGACCCTTAACACAGGTGTTGAACAGGACTAGACACAAATGGACCCTGAGGGTACTGCTGGTCACTGGCTCCCAACTGGACTTTGTGCTGGTGGCCACCACTCTCAGGCCTGGCCATTGGACAGTTCTGACCCCATCCCATGCTCTGCTCATGCAGCCAGGCATCCTCAGCTTGGCTAGGAGGATCTCATGGGAGACACTGTCAATGGACACCATGCAGTCCAGGCAGACAAAACCCACTGCCCTCCCCTCATCTACCAGGCCAGTCATGGAATCACAGAGGTTGATCAAGCTGCTCAAGCATGACTTCCTCTTGCTGAAGTCATGCTGACTATTCCTGACAATTTTCTTGTCCTTAATGTGCCTAGAAATGGTTTCCAGGATTAGCTGCTTCATCACTTTCCCATGGATTGAGGTGAGGCAGTTTAACCTGAATTCTCTGGGTTCTCCATGCCCTTCAACTAAGGGGTGACCTTTTTGCATTTCTCCCAGTTGTTCAGATCAATTGAAGATTATCAAAACATTAATTTATGATGTATTGTAATAGATTAGTTGATATTTAAGGTTTTCCAACATCCTGTTTCTCTGAACTGTTTTATTCTAATGACATTGCAACTGCACTGAATAATAAACCTCTCCTTGGGGTATAATTAATTGCCTCTTTAATCTTGTCCCAATGTGTATTTCTGAAACCCATATAATTTTACTATTTCTAAGATAAGTAGTGATGTTGTAAGTTTAATGCAGAACTAGAAGTAACTTCCATAGAGTAGTGGCAAAGTAAATCCAGTTCTGTAAGCCTAGGAGATTTATTTCTATCACTGGCCATTTTATTGGAAAATGTGACATATCTGCTATTACACTGGAAAATGTCAGCTCTTCACAGCCAGAATCCCATACCCATTCTGCATAAAATTTTGTGTACTTTTTGAAAACAGAACTATTCACATGGTCATATATTACTTGTAAAATAAACATCCTCAGGCATGGCACAAGTTGAATGCCCTGTTTTTGTTATAGCTTTGGTGTAAAATAATCTGATTGTCACTGTTGCTCTTAAAATATACAGCTGCAGTTATGTTTTAGTGAATAAGTCATAAATAAATCCAAGCATTTCCCAGACACTGAATGCAGACAATATTTCACAGAGCAGAAATGGAGAGGAAGCGGGGCAGGTAGGAAAGCTTAGCCTACCTTTTCTTGTTGTGCACTGGAATATACAAGACCTTAACAGCCTTAGGAGGCTTCAGTGCCACTGGCTTAAGTGGAATTACTCCCAATTCACTCCTCCTACACAATGTGGGGAGAGGAACATGATGGCCATGCCTAAAGACTGCTACACAGAGCCACAGAAATAATTGCATTGTGGCATATGAACTAAAGTGGGGATGATAATACATGGTACAGGGTCTGTTTTCTGTTGGAGTGGCTAAGTATTATTTAGCTTAGCCTCATTACAGAGGGCCCAAATGCACTCTGAGTTTACTCTTCACTTAAAAGAGTAGCTTAAAAATAACTTTTAAAAACTGCTTATCAGTTTTTAGCTTCTGCTTTAAGAATGTTCTGCAATTGCTGCCTAGGAGAGTTCTTTGTTATCAGTCTAAATGGAAAAATACTTTCTATTTTGTAAGTCCAGGCAGGCAGTGAGTAAATTAATAAATTCAAATCCATATGTCTTGAAATTCTGAAAAAGATCCTTCCTTTGAGTATGAGAACATGACTCTGTGTGTCTTCCTGGTAACAGCTCCAGACCTGTGTAGCCAGCCTGTGAACTACAGGATTCTTTTTGTCCCTCTTGGCCCATGCAGCAGGGATAGCCTGGGATGAAGATTTCACTCATGTCCTGTCTGAAAGAGTCTGCATAAGTGGGGTCAATAATGTGCCACAGCCTGAGGAGTGAAACTATGTATTTTGATAACTAACAGTAGTGAGAAGTGTGGACAAGAGGTAATAATCTGTGCTGGATTTGCAGTATGAACATGTAGTAGTTTATTGAAGATATCACAATTCATATAAATATTTAGCATGTGACCTTAGATATGACCAGGTTGTGACAACAAAGGATTAGATCTTCCAATTTAACACAGCACTCCAATGTTTATTTGCTGAATTGGTGCCTGCATGCCTTCAAAAGTCATCATTTTTTTTTTCATTTTCTACTGGTAGTCTGGATGAAAGAATCTGAAAAAGATTCTGTCTCTGCAACTATATACAAAGATAGTTGCAGGAGCACAGAGCTCCTGTATTTCCAGATGGAAAGTTTTGTATGGAAATATGTTGCCAGGCCCTGCACAGATGGCCAGTTCATGAGCAGAAAGCCCAACACATCAGGGCTCTGCTATGTACACAGACTCCAGGTGGCAGCTCTGACTGGGCTGCCTCACGTCTGGCAATTCTGAATGAATGTTCAGATTCCATTTTTTTTTACCTGGGCATCATTTCTAGAAAACAGAACATGTCCATTGGAGCATGCCTGGACTGAAAATCATCTACCAAAGTGTATGCATTTAGAATCCTAAAAGACAGAGCTGCTGTATTGTGTGGAACTTGCAGGAATAAATACCTGACATAATTGTAAATGACTCCAAAAAAATTCACAAGAATTTGGGAAGGAAAAGTCACTGCCTATGACAGTTCATCCTTGAGGTCCTCACTTAAAATTTGCGCTGAATAAACAGACTGTAATGTGTAATTTGTATATACTGTTCTTTAAAGAATATGTTTGTGTCTGAGCTGCAGAGGGGAGGTGAAAAAAGTAACAGTAGAATAAATGGTGCTTCATTTTAAAAGTTGTGCGTGACTTGCAATATTGTTGAGATTTGGAGCAATCCTTAATGAAAACAACAAGCAAATTAAGAGGGCCCATTCAATAAAATGAGTGTCCGCTTGCTAGGGGAGCAGAAATTTGCCCTTTAGTTGGGAGCATCACTACTTTTAATCTGACATTTAAGGCAATTGAGGCAGTCCAAAGACAATGATGGTATTGTTTTTATCTATTGTATTTTAAACTCCCGAGGCTGGCTGAACTGATGCAAAGCAGAAGACCTCCCCTCATCCCTGCTGCTGGCAGAAGATGGAAGTTAATAAGGGTTGCTCTGTGTAAGGAGCCCAGCTGTGAGGCCCAGACCTGCTGCCTGAACCTGTAGGTTTTATCTGTGAAAGGTTTCAGTGTTCAGTCCTGGATTAATCCTCTTTTAAAGAGTAACTGTGGGACGAAATTTTTAATCCATGGCAGACCTGTACAACCACCGTGCTGAAGCTGCAGTGCTGAATCTGTCAGCAGTGCCATCTAATGGATACAGCCAGCTTGAGCAGTTTTGACCTTTTCTTCTTGTTTTTTCTTCCTTTTCCACTCTTTTTTTCTCTCTCTTTTTAATTTTTTTTTTTTTTTTTTCTAACAGCATGAAATTCATCAGCATCTCCACAACATTACAGTTTGGTAAACAAAGTGGGGGTCTCTTCTGTGCTGTCTGCATCCTTTCTCTTCCTGGAAATATAAAGATGGGCTTCTTCCTAGATTTTTGTCACAATAAAAGACTCACACCCCCACAATGTTGTCTCAACAAGGCTGGTATGTCCATGCTAAGATTCTCTGGCAATTTCCTCCATCAGAAATGCCAGTGACAGGGCAGGATCTGCCTGCAGAAAATCTCTGTTCGGAAAGGGAGTTGTTCTTATCACACAGAAAATGCCTTACAGGGCGACATACAGCTCAGTTCAAATCCTACATTTTGTACATCCCCAGCTGTGGGATCCTGTTCCCCATGCTAGGATTATGCTAAACCATCTGTGACAGCTCATGAAACAGCCCCATCTGGCCCCATCCTCCCAATGTGTGGCCATGAGGGACTTCACACTTAGATTCAGTGGAAAGAGGCTTCAGACCTAAACCAGACAAAGACAAAGAGACTCAGATGTTGGTGAAAATAAGATGTTTTCTTCCCTGTCTGTGTCAAATGGGTGCTTGTGATAACTTTCTACTGGTGGTACCATTAAAGTAAAGCAGCAGAGAACCAGAGAGTTGCCTTTAACATGTAATTTTTCTTCATCCAAAACACTGTTCAGACACCTCTGAAGTTCACCAAAGTGTTTTCTTCTTTTAAATGATGCTCAAATCTTTCCATGGTTTCCTGCTCAGGAGTGGATTTTACTCTTCATACCTTCCAGTTCTTTGGACCTCTGTGCAAATTCCTAACTATTGCAAGGTAAAGGGATGCTGGCAGAGCCTGAGACCTTTTCCTTTCTCTCTCTCACATTATAATTTTTAAGGCCCTTAGTCATTTGAGACCAAATTCAGGTTTGTTACAGTGTGTGAGGAGGGTTTTCTTTACATGAAGGACAATGTTGATCCTTGCAAGGATGTGGAAATGCACCAGGTGACTAAATTGTCCTTCTAGGATGCAAAGCCCCATGAAGCAGAAATGCAGCATGATGAATGGATTACCTGGCTCTGAACAGAGAGCAACAGTGATGCTTGTGGCAATGTGTAGCCCTGGAGCTGGAATCACTGTTCCTGTGATCACAGATAGGAACTCATGGCCAAGGATTTCAGTAACAAATACATTTGAGTGGGGTTATTCCAAAGCACATTTATTTGACATTTTGTGTGTCAAATGCTAATAATTTTAATATTTTGATGTCCTGCTGAGTTCTACCTCTATTTTTGAAAATGTATTTTCTATCATGAAGATTTTGAATTTTGGCTGTAAATATGAGGTGCTGGTGTTTAATTTCTCTTTTCTTTTTAAATTTTTCCTCATTGTAGGATTTGCTCTCCTTGGAGGGCATGCTTCCTTCCTTACAACACAAGATATACATCTGGGCACTAATGAGAGTCTCATAGATACAACAAGGTTGGTAGAATGTCACTTGATTGATCACTTCATTTGCTGACATCTGTCTTACAGGATTTTGGAAGCTGATATTTTCTTTCTGGAAAATGTCAGAAGCTAGTCCAAATTTCTTAAATATTTACAGATCAGTTCACAGAATCTGTAGCTCAGTAAAACTTTATTCCATCCTCTCTGTAGCTCAGTAAAACTTTATTCCATCCTCTCTGTGGCATTTGTGGTGTTTGTGAGGTCCCCAGAACAAGGTGAGAGAGGAGAATCTGACTCCATGTTCTCAGTAGGTTGATTTGATATATATTATGTTATGTTATATTGTTATAGTATGTTATGTTTTGTTATGTTACATCATGTTATGTTATATTATGTTATACTAAAACTATACTAAAGAATAGAAAGGATACAGATGGAAGGCTTAACAATAATGATAATGAAAGCTCGTGACTGACTCCTCAGAGTCCAACACAGCTGATGGTGATTAGTCATTAAGTTAAAACAATTCACATGAAACCGATCATCATGCACCTGTTGGTAAACAATGTCCAGACCACATTCCAAAGCAGCAAACACAGGAGAAGTTAATCAGATAACTATTATTTTCATTTTTCTCTGAGGCTTCTCAGCTTCCCAGGAGAAGAAATCCTGGAGAAGGGATTTTTCAGAAAATATCACAGTGACACCACACTGAGAATCATTTTGGCATATAGAGTGTTAATTAGAGCTACATTTACAAATGGAACAATTTTATGGACCTCAGTAATCATGTAATTCCATTGATGACAGCACATATATTCTAACATATATTCTAACAAGACTCAAACTGAAGCAGGAAATGGCATCACAATCCAATATCAAACCTTGTGGTTCTGCTGCCCTTGGAGCAAAATCAAAAAGCAAAGACACAATTTATGTTTGTTAAACAGCTGCTGGTGGACCTTAGCCTGCTGAAGTAGTGTCCTGCAGTGATAGGGTGGCACTGAGGGCCTTTCTGATCCTCCCATTTCAGCAGCATGAAACTGGACCAACTCTTTGTAGCCAGTTTCACATTTCCTGCGCCCTCCTTCCTAGCTGTACCCACTGCCAGGACTGCTGATGAGGCTGGGCTGTGGCTCCCTGCCCTCACTGGCATCCCTGGAAGATGCCAGTCATGCCCAGTCCCACATGCAGGGGTGGGGAGCAGCCTGTCTCCATTGCTGGGCAGGGAGGACCTGAGCTCAGAGGTTTTCTGCAGCCTCTGATGTTGCAGAAAGCTGGCAGAACATGAGGTCCTGTGTTGCAGGTGCTCCTGCTGTTTTCCATGGCACTCTAGCTATTAAAGCTTCATCCAGCCTTGGCACTATCCTGCTTTCTAGGCGGTCCTTTTGCAGCCTGAGGTCGATTCAGTCAGGCCCAGCTGTTGGAAGGTTAGCAGTGTCTGGTCCTTTTTGTTCTGGTGAAAGATATGCAGTGTCAAGGTCATCAGGCTCAATTCAAAATGTGCAAATCAGGCAGATGAGTTCCATTGCCTTTGCTGAATACCACAGTTCTCTTGCTGAATACCACTGTTTGAGAACTGTGTTGCTGTTCTCTGTGATGAAATCCAATAAAAATTAAAGAAAAAATGTCAAACATCTGAACATTTTAAATTTTCCTTCCTTGTTTTTTTACTACTGAAATGGAAGGCATATGGTGTTGATAGTAGAAAGTAAAAATCTCAGTCCCTTGAGGCCTGGAAGTACTTTACTCTCACTCTCTGCTAGATACATAAATCTTCCAGAATGAAAGTGAGCTGCAACAACAGAATCATGGAATATTTTGAGTTGGAAGAGACTTTAAGTATCATCTTGTTCCAACCCTCCTGTCATGGACAAGGACACTTTTCACTAGACCAGGTTGCTCAGAGTCCCATCCAGCCTGGCCTTGAACGCAGCCAGGGATGAGGCATCCACAGCTTCTCTGGGCAACCTGTGCCAGGCCCTCACCATCCTCACAGTCAAGAATTTTTTCCTAAAATGATCTAAACCTACTCTCTGTCAGTTTGAAACCCCTAAATAGTCCCTCTCCATCTTTTGTGTGGGCTCTTTTCAGGTATTGGAAGGCTGCAGTTAGGTCAGTCTGGAGCCTTCTCTGTTCCAAGCTGAATAATGCCTGGAATAGTTCTCTCAGCCTTTTCTTGGAGGCAAGGTGCACCCTCTCTGATCACCTTGCAGCCCTCCTCTACTCTACTGCACAGCTGGCTGTGAGCTCCAGCAGCCAAACCTGCAGGAAGGGCAAGGATGAAGTCAGGGCCCTTCCAAAGCACTTCCCTGTAATGACCTCGGCAAGCACTGCCCCACAAGCCATGCAGGACTGTCACCTGCAACCTCTCTGCCAGTCAGATGCCCACCCTGCAGCAAATCTGGCACAAAACTAGATATGCTTAATACAGACTAGATTTCATTTTTTCTTCTTTCCAAATATGTAGTAAAGGGACATTAAATCTTTTGTTTACAGTGTCCTGAAAGACCTTTGTTTGCACAAGCAAAAAAGGAAAAAGGCAGACAATAAACTACAAGAAACAAGGCAATAAATAGAAGCAAGTAAACCTTCCAGCCATTCTGAAGGCATTCCCATTCTGTGGATAAAGTTCCTACAATATCTACTTCCCAAATAAACCTCCAGCCCCCTTTTCTCTGTCACTGCTTGCTCTTTCAGGACAAGCCCTTATTTATGACTCTTACCTGGGGATTTTGCTCCTCTGGTCAGTCACAGCTCTCACTTGCTACAGTGGACAGGGGCTTTTCCCAAATCCTTACAGTCCCAGTCCTCTGCTCCACTGCTGCTGTCATTAGCAGAAATACCACTGACTGCATAATCAAGGCTGAGTAGTTTACCCAAAAGAACAACTGGAGTGTTAATTCCTTGGTGCTTCTTGTGAATGAAAGATGACATCCCAACCTCATTCAGATAATGTAAGAACTGAAAAAAAATGCCTGTAGTAGACCCAGAGGGTATTTCAAATATTTACAGGCATGTGTCTGGGGCTCTGAAGGCCTTTGAAGTACTTGAGATTGAGACTTAAAGCAAAAGGGGCACAGATCCATAAAAGTCACCGGTTTTATTAGAACTGCTGCAGGTAAGGGTTGAAAGCATTGCTGCTGTGAACATATTTTTAGTGACTTATTACCTGCTCATAAATCAGTTTCTCCATGCTTCACAAGACATTTACATTTATGCTGACACTGTGGCAAAAAGTTTCCGCCCATTAAGGAGCTGTGAGCCTTTAAGTGCTGTTTAACATGTCTGATCTATCACCTGAAATGAAATATAAGTACTGTGTCTGGATTTCCCACTGCAGAGCAGTTCCACTGGGCATCACTAAAGCTCAGTGGCCATCTTCAGTTTCAGTGCCAGCCCTGAAGAGCTCATAGGGTGATTTAACCAGTCCACTGGAATTATTAGGGCATTAATCTCTGCATTTATGGGGAACGGGTTTATTTTGCTGAGAACACATCCATTGTCTGTCCCTGTGAGACTATGAGTGAAAGCGAAGTAGTTTTGTGAGAAGTTTAAAGCTTTTGAATGGATATAAACTGTCAAAACAAAAGCAAAACTACCTTGCATAGCAGTATTCTATACAAAACATATGCAAATGTCCCATTTTCAAATTCAAAAGTCTGCCATATCAAAAAAGGCATACTCTGTGTTTCATTTTGGATTCCTCAGAGGATACAGTTGAGGAAAAAAAATTCAGGTTTTCTCCATAGAAGTAAAAATTACTTTGAAAAGAGAGATATGCAACATTTCAATGTACTCAGTGTTCCAATATAACATATTACCACACTCTGGGATTTTGAAGGTGATAGTCTCAAGGTTTTGAAAAGGAATGAAAAGAGAGAAAGACCTAGTAGTTGATAAAATAAGAACATTAAATGCAGTCACCTGATGAACTTGTGCTTGCAGCCCTCAGCTTCCAAAACTTCACCTTTGATAAGAGTCTTTCATGTATTCAGGAATTTTTTTTTCCCTGTGCAATTCCAGCCTTACAGAGTTTCCTTTAAACTGATTAAATTACTGGAGACCAAATCATTCCCCCGTAATCACAGACTTCCAGGTGAGGGTTATTTGTGGTTTTTTTCCCCCCAAGTTCAGTTTCATTTTGGTTTCACAAAGAATAAAGCCAGTTTACAGCTGATTTTCCTACTGTAAAACACAACATCTAGAAATGCTGGCAGAAGGACTGTCTGATGTCCTGCTGGTAGGTGTCTAATAGATCTGATATCTACTTCCAACAGACTAAAGATGAAAATCCAGCAGTTTTCACTAGTTGGTGATTATGACTGAATTTTCCTTAATGGCTTACCCTATGAAGGAACCATATTCTTTAATTTCTTGATAAGCTGTGTCAAATAGAAATCAGATGAGCTTACATTCTAAAAGGAAAAAAAAAAAGCTATAAGGAAAATGAGCAATTTCCCAATGCGATTGTCCCTTTCCTTGACTGGTGGGGTCTGGCTGTGTCTTGTTTAGGGAGTCCACCAGCGAGGGGGCTAACAAAAGGAACCATGCATCACACCCCTGATGACCAGATCAGAACAAAACAGGTTTCCCCCTGAGAAAGGAACTGGTGAGCTGAGAAGAAATAATGGCACCAACAGCAACTGTTCCAGTACTTTGTAATCAGTAAATACCTTGTTCAGCTCCTCCTTTTCATTTGTAGCTTCTATTGACAGTCTTTTTTTCAGAGAGAGCTCTACAGGCAATCTTGTAATTTTATAAGAGCTTTGCTTGTGTGAGGAATGTCTGATATGAGTAGAAAATTCTTATAACTGACTTCATCAGGAGCCCTTGATGATGATGGTACTAACAGCCTTATTTCCACAAGAGGAGATGCAAGAATTTGTCATGGCTAATCAGGAAGGCAGATACTGCAAGGATTTTTTCCACACATTTCTAATTCAGTCCTCCCTTGTTTTGTTTCAAGGTCCTATTTCAGATAATACGAAAACACACAAAATGCTACTTCAAAGTCAAGCTTCAGGGCCTGATTAAAACACAGAAATGCAGAGAAATTAAGAGCTCCAATCCATATTTAATTTATCTAAAAAATTCAGAGTATACTATGCTAATCCCTGTGTCTTTCACACTTCAGCAAATGAAGTTAGTGCCAGAATGATACAGGGGCTTCTGCAACCCCTTCCCTGGTTCTGAGTTTGAAATTTGGGCATTACTTGAATGCTGATACCCTGTGAGTCAATACACAGGTGTGTAGGTAGGAGAAAGCAGACCAACAATCCCAGCCTGTTGTGTTTCTGTGTTTATTAAGATCAGTAAACAACTGTGGTAATCTAAGACAGATCTGTATTGCTGATCCTCACAAGGGCTACCATACAGAGTCTATAATATTCAGTCAATGCTACATTTGTTCTTTGCTAGAAAACTGCAAAAATCATATACCTTATCTCTTCTGAGGTTATCCAATTCTTTAACTGTTACAGTATCACACAATCTCTTATCTTAGTTCAGAGAGCTTAACATGTATCAATGTTCCATCTACAATAAAACGCTAAAGAGAAAAGAATATAAAATAGAGCAGCAGTTTTCATTTACTTACTACAGTAGTGTTAGGAAGTGAAAGTTCTTACTTATTAGCAGCTTGTTAAATGACTACATTTGAGTCTGTTCTGCAGGCATGATAAATTATTCAGATAGCTGAAAAATATTGATTCATTACCATTTCTCATTAATATTTATGTGTTGCACGGTGAAGAGTGCAATAGGGGTATATTTATTATGTTTGACTTGAGTATTTTCTGCCATCTCTAGGGTGCTGTCCAGCATGACAAATGCAATCTTGGCTCGAGTTTATAACCATAATGATCTGGACCTAACGGCAAAAGAAGCCACGATCCCAGTAATCAATGGATTGTCTGATTTATACCATCCTCTTCAGATTTTAGCTGATTACCTAACTCTTCAGGTAAAAATATAAACAATTTTTTTTTTTTTTTGCTAATTCTTAGTATTTGGGGAAGTCATCTTCAAATCCATTTATCTCTAGGATTTTCAAAGCAGCAATTATATGGCACTTGTTGTTTAAAGAGATCTTCATCCAGCAATATAATTAAGGACCTGTTTAATTTAAAACAATTACATAGTCCTATCAGCTGTAGTGGGACTGAAGTTAAGCATAAAATTAAGTATTTTATTGGAATTAGTCTGCAATTCAAAGAATGTACAGAAGGCTGTACATATTAAGACAAAGATGAGAATCTGGCTCAGGCAAAGCCAGCAGATTTTTTCATTGGCTTAAAAACACTCAGTAGTTGGCTCTTGATTCCTCCCTAATCTGTGGACATTTTAAAAGGAATCACTATTTATGTATTAGGAAATAGTTGAACAAATTTCTTTTGAAAAGCCAGTTAATGTTACCAGTACCAACACTTAGTGTTCAGGCACTTTAACCAGTTTAAACTTTTCTCACATCAAAGAACAGTTATAAGAGATTGTATTTTTTATTTTTCATCTAATGTAACAGTGGATCTGACAACAGGATAATATTTTACACATAGAATACCAGATGTTTATCTGTGAACAGAAGGACTATATGTTTTTTACAATCAGTTGAGGATCTGGTTTATAAAAAAGATTATACTGCAGGGCTGGTTGACAACTATGATGAACTCCTCTGACCTTGTTTACTTTCTGAATGAATAAAAACCACACTGCTTGAAAATGGTAGGGCAGAATAATTTTCTGATTTATTCAGCTATGTTTCTCAGTTGTTGGGGACTTTGCTATGCGACATTCAGTGTGTGGAAAAGATCAAGTGCGAGTAATATTAAATTATTCATGCTTTAGACCTTAAATACTGGAAGACTCGTGTTTGGTGAAAATCACTTCTTTAAGTAATTTTTTGTAAATTTTTTATATTCATGGTGAAGAGACCAGGAAAAATTGGTGAACTAAAGATTAAAATGCTTACAAACCTCAGGATAAAGGAGATTTGTGAGATCACATTGAGCCAGCCTCAACGTTCAAATTGCATAAGAGGCAGTAGGCTGTAATGAGAATTTCATAATTTTGTTGAAAACACTGTGTGAAAACAAAAGCCAGGAGAATCTTCTGGTTGTGTTTTGTGGGATGTTCTGTTTTGGAAACACCTTATTAATCAGCATTTTATCACTTGTGAGTAACACTCTTCAGAGCAATCTGCGACTCCCAGCTCACCCAGCCATGGGTATATCTGTCCCTGAAAATGGTTTTATCTCAGCCACTGCCTGACTCCAGCACCCAGGCTCACAGTGCTGTTCCCCTCTCCTCCACCTCCAGCTAATGAAGAGAGTCCAATGAGCATCCCAGTCACCTTCTGGAGATGCATCTCTTTCTGCACTGCTCTTAGGGGGAAGCCTGTGGAAAGCAGCGGGATGAGAACATGCCCTGTTGATCACCCTCTTCTTCTCCATTGCATCCTTGCACAGGGCAGCTGTGGCAGAAGCTGCAGGTGAACATGAGCCCGGGCTGCACTCTTCCCTGGCTTGAATTCCAGGGGCAGCACCTACAGCTGTGGTTGTCCTTGCTGCACCAAACACCAGGGAGGATGAATTTGGTGATGAAGAAACAGGTCCATAGCAGTTGGTGCTCAAACAAAAGACATGGAGAGGTGTCATGACAAAAGGAGCGCTTACAGTGATCACAAAGAATGGCTCAGCTTTCATACAGACGTGGAAGTTTTTTTTTAAATTTGCAGCACTTTCACACTCAGCCCAATAAGCAGAGCACCATCTCCTCCATCTACCCATCTCTCCTTGATCCTTTCCAGCATGTTCCTTAGCCCAAAATTTGTCAGGAGATCTTTATAGGGCAGCTGGGTGGCCACCCCACTGTGCCAAGGGCATGTTGCACTGCTGGCTGCTGACTCACTTTCCATTCCTGTTTCTTATCCAGGAGAGAGGGGCAGGCAGGGGAGATCTCTCAGCAGCTCCCTGTGGGTGATGGCACTGCCTGAACTCTCCGTTTCTGTCCCTCTGCTCCCTTTTTTTCCTCTTTGCACTGTACAGTGAGTTGGAGAAGATGGGGGTGGCATGAAATGAAACAACATTTTAATCATATAACGAACTTTGCCAGGCCACAGAGGTGAGATTAACTCTTGAAGAGGTGTGAGCCACAGGGTCTGGTTTCTACTTAGCCCAGCCAAGTTTCTTATGGGATTTTCAGCAAGATGTCATCCAAGTCCTGCCTGCAAGAAGATTAATACAGGGAGGATGTGGAATGGTACCACTGATTCTTTAAATGAGGTGAAAGACCATACATAACATTTAGACTGTTGCTGTGCAATACCAAGGCAATTTATTTGATTTATGCTTATATGCAAACTATAGTAGTGGCACAGACTGCTAGCCTAATATTTAAATGTAACTACAGATTTTGTACAGCTTATTTCTCCTTAAAAAATGTCTCTTCCCTATTCCTGTAAATATTTTCCTGCCTGGATCTGTTCCTCACTGCTGTCAGTACATACCCAAAATGTACATTTTTTCTTTTTTTTCTTCTCTGTTTTTCAGTGCAGCTCTAAATGCACTCTGGCCCTCTTCATCTTTAGCACATTTTTCTTCTTCCATTTTCTATAACCTATTAATTTAGTTGTGTGCCTTCTTGAACCCTCCTCAAGAACTTTCTCTTTGGTCTGAAACTACATAATTGCAAGGTTTGTTTTGAAAAAATGTTTTCTTGCTTATAGCTTCTATTCCCTTTTCACAGGTTCATTTTAGTGTCATTATTTTACTATCGTCCATTGCATCCCCCAAACAATGCAGCTGGTTTATTTTCAGGGCTGTCAATTCTCATTCTGTATTCAGAGCAAATTCTCATCCTGGAAATGCTCTTTTCAGATCATGCAGTGTGTTCCTGTTATGGATATTGGGGTGAGATTCCTCAGGTTCAGCATCCTCCTGCCCAGTGCCTTCTTCCTGAGCGACCTGGATCCCCTCATGTGTTTGAAGTCTAGGCTGGCTCTGTCCTTTAATATTGTGCTCAGGGTTAATGCCCTCTATTAAGCCAAGAAAAATGTTTTTCTTAACCTGTATATACACTATCTTCCTTCTTAAAGGTTGTGTTGAATTGAGTGTGCTTGAGGTATAACCCACTTAAAATGGTTGCAAACATGTAAAGAACCAGTTTTTGAGGATTTGGGGATTTGTCCTTTAAAGACTGTGAGTTTGTGAGCACACACTGAGCCCCTTAACTGCCCTGCTTGTTCTGAAACAGCCATGAGCTGAGTTTACCCAGTGCCTCTCAGTGTCCTGGGCAGGAGTTGTGGCTCAGCTTCTGCTCTGCTCAGCGTGGCTGGAGGGCAGCATCACACAATCTGTATTCCAGAGACAGCACGGCTATTGACATTGATTCAATTGATATTAATGTCACTGGCCAAATCAGCTCGCTTCTAGCTGGCCAGACTGGTAATTAGAGTGGATCCATATGCCACTAGCTTTTTATGTCACTGGTCTGGAGGGAATTTTCTTTTTCATAAAGTAACGGTTGGCATAAGAAATACATCGGTGGTTTCTTTTTAAACAGCATAACAAATAATGCTGCCCAGCTAGAAAAGGGCTGCAGTATATTCTCAAATTCTCCTTGCTGTTTGATCCCAAGACCTCAAATTATTACAATTTTCAAATTCATCACCATCATCATCCTTATTATTCTAACAATTAGAAATCCCAACTAAGATCTGTCCTGATCTTCTAAAATATACTGCATCAATAACCAGGACAAAAACCAGTGTGGGAATAAGAAAGAACTGTCCCAGCATCTGCCCTAAGCCCGGTTTGAGAAGCAGAAGATCCAAGTTTGCCCAGTTTCTCATTTACTGGATTGCACTGTCTCCTGAAGGGCTAAAGCTTTGATTAGTCCCTGGCATTCCATTTTAAAATTTGACAGATTATTGATTCATTATTCAAAAGCTTGTTTTAATTGAGGGCTGTTATGACAGTTGTGGTCAAACATTTCAGAATTAATCTATAATGGTGTCAGAGTTTCAGTCTCGCTGGAAGCAAGTCCAGGCAGAGGCAGACACAAATGTCCCCAATTAGTTAACCCAGTCCTCCACACATACAGCAGGGTCAAATCACTGCAGCAGACTGATTTTCTCCCAGAGTTGCAGAGTTGCCTACACTGCAGCCATGGATAAGAACAGAATGAAACATTATGAAAGCAATATGAGGGTGAGAAAATTGAATGTAAAATTGGTATTACTTATTTAGCTGGGATTTTTCATGAAAATAACACAGGCAAGATTTATGGCAATACAACAGCAATAACTACTTTGTCAAAGAGCCTTCATAAGGGACAAGGGCTCTAGACTTTCTAAATATGTTATTTTTTGTGTGGATTTACTAGGAGTCATGTTCCAAATGTAGAGTGAAACTGCAGAGCACCCATGCAGGAGTAAAGCCTACATCAATATGACATAATTTGTAAAAACTGGGGAGGGATGCAAAGGGGAAATTTCTTCAGAGGTTCTGGTGATCAGCAGGTATTGATTGTAAAGGCTCTCATTTAATTTAGAGTGTTACTATCATGGCAAAACACTTTTAGCAGGATTTCACCTGTGTGATTGTATAAGCACATACTATAAGAGGGAGAGGGTGGGAGGGGAAGTGTGTCATTTACTGTAGCTTTTGTTTTGCCTCCAAGCTTTCTGGTTCTGACCAACAGAGTCATCTCATCTTTGCTGGAAGCTGAGGGAGTGTGTTTGCTTATAAGCAGTACAGTCACAGTCACAGTGATCTGGCTTTAGATGAAGAGGTTTGAATTACAGCAGCAGTGCACCAGTGGCAGCACAGACCCTAGCACAGGATACAAAACAGGCTTCACTGGCACACACACAGCTTGATTCTGCCTTGCTATGACTCCTTCCATTAGCAAAATATCTTCATTAAAATCAGTTCAGCTATGTCCACTCTACACAGTAGTCACTGCAGATGTGGTTTGCAATTTGCACTGCATATCAGGGATCATTATACAGACACGTCCAGTACTCCATATTTTATCTGTAACAGCCAGCAGCTTGGGAAAACAGAGGAGAGCACTTAGTATGCACTGGGCTTCTTTAAATGCAGAGTAGCAGCTGGCAGTAAGGTGAAGTTGTTTAACACAGCAGTGTATTTGTGACTCTAGTCAATGCTTTGAGTATTAAGGCTGAGATGTCTATTTTTAAACAGTGAGATGAAAAGAACTCAGGACTGTCTCACTTGCTTCTGGCTGTGGGTTCTGGTCTCAGCTATCACTAAGCTCTAAATGGAAACAACACCTTAAATAGATGCTTCAATTTGGCCTTCTCCTAGCAGCACCATTGCTAGGAGATGTGGAAGGACTTTGAAAGATCCTTAGAGACCTGCAGAATGGCTATACTGAAATAACTTCCATGTCCACACAGTCCTGATTTGTTCTCCTGTAAATGCCCTTGCATCCAACCCCTGCCAATGAGCCTGCTGTTAACAAACTTATCTGAAAAAGCAATATTTTTGCAATACCGTAATTTTAGCCCTTAAACCTGAACAGTCTAGGACTCTAACCAGTTTAGGTATTTACAGCACTTTAATGTCATTCAATTTTCAATTACTACTATTTTTGACTCAAAATTGTGCTCACTGAAAGAAATGCTAATAACTTTGTTCCAGAACAACCTCACAAACTATTTGTTTAGGAGAAGCTGCTGCCAGGAGAGGAGGGGGTGGTCCCAGCCCTTTTCCTGTTCGGTCTTTTGGCATCTTTTCTGCAACTGCCTGCAAGGTTGCCACTTAGTACAATGTGGATGCTTATCCTCTCTGACAAGCATTGAATCATGTCACACAAAGTGTTGAAACACTGTCTGGCTTCCAGCTACTACAATGCAATTGTAGCATGGCCCAGATTTGAACTAAGAATAAAAGGCTCTCCAGAAATTGTTTCAAGTCATGAGATAGAGCTTTACAGGGCAGGCTTATAGGAGAATTTGGTTATGTCTTTGTAAAAAAAATTGGTTATCAGCTTAAGTGCCTATAAACATGGATATTTAAAACAAGGCTCATTAAGGAGCCTCAAATTGTCCTGCTCTGCGTGTAACTCCTGTTACTCTTGCTCCTCCTTAGGCCTTATCTGCTTGGGGTGGAGGGACAGAGTAACTGCACATGGCCAGGCTGTAAGTGCCATCAGGCAAAACCACAGTTAACTCTGTAATGCTGTTTCAAGTTTGGGTAATCCACATTTTTTTTTTTTTAAATCCCTGCACTCTTTGGCTGAACAGTGGAGAACAAATGCCGCAGGCCATGAGTGGCACAGCTGCTTTCAGAGTGCTGCTTTTGCTGTCCTCTGCAGTTGGGGGTGGAGATGCACCCCCAGGACCTGGCACTGCCATGGCCACAGGGAACAGGGTGCAGAGGCAACCAACCAAGCCAGAGAAAACCTCAATTGGGATATTTTCACAAACTGGGGGAAAGCTGGAAGGAGTTTCACTCCAGGCATTAGGACTGTCTCTACATTAATAATTTCCAACACTCACTGATGTTTATGAGGCCCAAAGAACATGCTGAAATGACTTTGTGTCTGCTGCTGAATCTCTCAGCCTGAGCCTCACTATGTGGCACATGTGCCAATGTTTCCTTCTCACATGTGCCAATGTGTCCTGTGGTGGTGTTCACAGGGGTCCAAGGAGAGGGAAGAGACAAGGATCTGACTCCATGTTTCAGAAGGCTGGTTTATTATTTTATGATATATATTATATTAAAACTATACTAAAAGAATAGAAGAAAGGATTTCATCAGAAGGCCAGATAAGAATAGAAAAAGAAAGAATGATAACAAAAGCTTGTGTCTCCGACAGAGAGTCTGACCCAGCTTACTGTGATTTGCCATTAATTAGAAACAATTACTGGAGACCAATCACAGATCTACTTGTTGCATTCCACAGCAGATAATCATTGTTTACACATTTTGTTTCTGAGGCTTCTCAGCTTCTCAAGAGAAAAATCCTAAGGAAAGGATTTTTCATAAAATGTGTCTGTGACAGTGTCTTTCTCCAGGGGAAGCAGCAGCACTTGGCCCTTCTTGTACGACAGGGGGGCTTCCCTTCCATGACCATCCTGTAGGAGCAGCAATTCCAGGTGTGCTCCATGCAGGCAGCACTTGAAGGCAGCCAGCTGCCTTTGCACAGACCCTTCTGATCATTCCCTCCTGTCCATCAGCCTGCCAGCTTCTCTGGAACGTAACCCCAGGGTTTGTGATTGCTTTGGCAGGAGCACTATGGAGGGCTGCAGGGGCTCACCGTGGCCTGGATCGGGGATGGCAACAACGTCCTGCACTCCTTCATGGTGAGCGCTGCAAAGCTGGGAATGCACCTGAGGATTGCCACTCCCAGGGTAAGAAAAAGCAAACCCATGCAGAAAGGAAGGCAAACTGCACCCAGACTTGTCTCAAACACTCAGGCATTGCCCAAGGGCCCAGCTGGGGGTGCCTGCATCTATCCCAAGTGCCTGTTTTCAGAACCAAGGTACAAAATCCAGTTATTTGGATGCAAAGCAGGAGTGATTCCACTGAGTCCAACATCAGAAATGGGAATACATGACAGGAGTATAAATCATGGAGGATCACAGTTCCATCTGATAAAGCCTTACAAAGCCATCCAATGCACTCTCCCTGTCCAAAAAAAAAAAAAAAAATTAGGCCTGTTTCAGATAGGTGGAAGTGTTGCATCTCATTTCATGTAAATTGGTGGTGCAGCATTTTAGAATGTGCAGCATTTTATATTGCATTGTAATACAATATAAACTATTTTTAAATCAGTTTAGAACAAAAAAAATTAAATGTTGTAAATGCATTTAATTCTGTAATTGTCAAAATACATTTTTCTTATATTTTTAGAACAATTTTCACCACTTTATCTCAAAAATAAACTTTCAACAAAATCAACAGTTTCCTCAAGTTTTACAGTTTTGAAGGTATTCTTCTTCCATGGCCAATGGTTCACAATGGTTCAATAAGTATTTTTCTAACTGTTCTCATTAATTAGTGAAGATCTAACACATGTCTAATGATGTCTTACCCATCATCTCTTTTGTCAGGGCTTTGAACCAGACCTCAGGATAACTAAAATAACTGAACAGAACTCCAAAGAGGTAGGAGCCTAAAAAACAGCCTAGTAGAATAGTTTGAATAGAGTTTATTTTCATTATAAATGAAGTTCCTTGTCTTAGTGATCTTCCATATTTTATCCACTCTAGTATGGTACCAAGTTACTTCTCACAACAGACCCTTTGGAAGCTGCAGACAGTGCCAATGTCTTAGTCACAGACACTTGGATAAGCATGGGACAAGAGGAGGAGAAGAAAGAAAGACTAAAGGCCTTTCAAGGTTATCAGATTACAATGCAGGTAAAAACTGAGATTTTGGGTTTTATTTATGTTTTTACACTTTTCATGTCACTATAGGACACAAAACAACACGACGTGGACACACTGCTGTTCTCAAGGTGAAAAAGGGGAAGTTTATTTTCTGACTCCAACATTTATAGATTTTTAAAAGTGTCAGTGGATTGGAGGGTGAAAGTGCCACCTCTCCAATGACATTGGACAAACCAACAGTCCATCAAATTTCTCTTCTTCCATAAAGGAACGAAAACCAATAAGTTATTTACATAAAGTGTGTGAGAAAGTTCGTTACAAGAATGTAAACATCAGAAGGTTTAGAATATCTTAAAAAATCAGAGCAACACTTTGCATTTATAAGAATCAATATCAACCAAGCATGAGTTTGGGGGTTTTTGAGTGGGGCAATGGAAAACCACATGTAAACCTCCCTCCAGCTGAGAAAACTCACAAAGATAACAAAGTTTTAATTATGTCACACACTCCACATGGCTTGGCCTCTTTCAGAGCTTCCCAATGGGATCCAGCTCCAGAACATGTGCAGCAGAGGAGTTTTCTAAACTCAGAGAAATTGGAGTGACTTTTTGACTTCTGGGAAGCCAGCATTGAACTCTGACAGATTTGCATGGAGATATTCCCATCTTATTCACAGATGAGGAATTCTTTTGAAGTCTGTGGAATTCTTCTGAGTTCATCATCCAAGTAACTAGAGCCGGAGTTAATATAAAATTTGTTAACTTTTTTACCAGTTAAGGATTTTACTAATGTCCTCACATATGTCTGTATTTTATATGCTTTTTAATCTACAGACTGCAAAATCTGCTGCTTCCAACTGGACTTTTTTACACTGTTTACCCAGAAAGCCTGAAGAAGTTGATGATGAAGTATTTTATTCTCCACAGTCATTAGTTTTCCAGGAGGCTGAAAACAGAAAATGGACAATTATGGTAAGAAAAAAAAGAAATGAAGATAACATTGTTTGGATGTTAGGGTCAATTCTCTTCTGCCTGACATAACAGGTTTGAATTCAACCTGATTCCACAATAAATAGTGAATGTTAAAACATATGTTTCAAATTTACCCCAGAGCACATCACAATTTTGACTATAGAAAACATTAGTAGCACAAATACTTCTGGGCACAAATGTGATCTATTTTGGTGATGTTCTGCTGTTGCTTGACCCAGGTTTTATCACTAAGTGAAATCTACAATATAAACTGTCGGGTTTTTTGGTAATTAAATCACTGGATTTACTCTAATGATTAACTCAGCTTCTCAATTAAAACACGTTAAATGCTGAGGTCCCAGGGTTTGGTTTTAGAAACTGCAGTTTCCCAAACACTTAAAACCAGTTCGTTTCTCTCAGGAAAAGTTGCTGGTGACACCAATGGGAACTTTCCCTGAGAAAATGCTGGAAGAGCAAAGATTTGAATAATCCTGAAAAGTTATGGTGTGGGTGACACTGTGTGATCATAGGAGCCATGAGGGGACACTTGGCATTTAACATAAACCACAACTCCCCTCTCAGCATTCCTGGAATTTCAGAAAATTACTGCCAGACCTCAGTACCCTATTATTTATTTTTGGCTTTAGATTCACCAAGCTGACAAAAGCTAGAGAAAACTTTCAGAGGTGAAAAGAAAAACAGAGATGGCATTGTCAGAGTTCTGAGATGAAGTCTAGATGTGCTCCAAATGAATATATAAGGGGTTTAGTGTTGTGTTTGCAAAAACCTCAGACATTGGACACAGTCAAAATTACTAACAAATTTGTGTTAAATTCATAGTTTCGTCCTTAAAATTCAACAAAATGCTTGGATTTTTTGTTTTAATTTTGCAATGTTTCTAACTGCCCTAAATATTATTTTTTAAAAGAAAGAAGCCCTTTACTTTGGGTTCCAGATGCACATTTTTGGGGGGGCTGGGGGGATGAAAGGAAAATGTCATCTTTGTATTTTATCAGCCTATAAAAATAATGAATGCATGGGTCTTGTTTATATAGTATTTTCTACCACTTGTAGCACAGAAAGCAAACTGAAGAATAGATTATTTGCTCAGCTGGAGATGCAAGCAGGGCTGAGTGCAGCCACGAATGGGCAGCACTGAGGGGCTGCACAGCTCTAATTCAGGCATCTCTGTGTGCCTGGCTGGCCCCGGCTATCAGTTTCTGAGGGTCTGGATTGAAGGCATTTGAGACAGGAGTTCATGTTCAGACTCAGGTGTTTATTATTTCTTATCAGTAAAACAGTCTCATCACTGTGAGTTCAGCAGCTTTTCATTAGAAGGCACAACATGGCAACAATCTCTTGTTACAAGGGCTTTTAAGACTAAACTATCCAATGAGGAAAGGACACCTAGATTATTTTCCCTTTTAACCCAATAACTGATCCCAATGCAGATTTTTCTGCCCAATTACAAAATGCCACCCAAACCCATGAAGAAGAAGGAAGAAGAAGGTAAAGAAGAACAATCTGCCTTCACCCTAAAACCTCCATCTTGCTTCCATCCACAACATACTAAAAACCCCAAATCCTAAATTTCTCACCAAGTGATACACCTACACTATTCTCTATAATCTATTTCACACTTTTGTGGATTCTGGTCTATCTTGAAGTCTGGGAAACTTTCTCCATGAGTGAGGGTCAAAGTCAGTGCTGCCCTGGGGATCAGGGTACCCCAGAGCAGACAGAGAGATATTCCCAGTGCCCTGGGTTTCCACACCTGGCAGTGATGAGGGGAAAGGAAAGACAGGCAGCAAGACCACAGCCCCCGGAGAACCCTCACAAATCCAGTGCTGGGCCAGAATAACAATGTGCAGTCAGACCTTGCTGTGAAATCACAGCACCAGGTAAAGAATCAGGTAAAGCCTTATCAAGGCAAGGCAAGCCTGGGGTTTGTTGTGAGCACAGGCATGGAAGGGGCAGCAGAGCTGCTGCAACCACATTTCGTTTGCCTGACTAAATCACTGCCATTTCACAGCTGGGCCAAAGGCTGGCCAGGCAGGGCAGGAGGGCTGGACGGTACACTCTTAACCTCAGTGAGGATTTTCCATGTTTCCTACAGAAAGTACAGCTAAACTGGGATAAATTTCAGAGTCCATAATCTAGCGTGGCTCTTGCTGATGTTCATGGAAAGTGCTGGAATCCACAAGCCAGCCCATGTGATGTCTGGGTACCCACAGCATCTCCTAGAAGTAGCAGAGAATACATCACAACATGCCAAAAAGGCCTCAGCATTTGATCTAAATGCTTGTGTGAATTGCTCCTAAGCTGTCCATTAATATATTTTGTCCACACTGAGAAAATCTATCAGCTACAAAACAGAACCTAACTGATTTTCAGCTCTTGCCTGATTCATCATAAGAAATTCTAGCAAATAAATCTGAGTGTACCATTTTTGTCAGGATAATAACTTTCAACACAAGGCTTCAGAGCTGGAAAATATTTCCCCCTTATTTATTTTTATGGAGTATCTGTTTCCAATGTGATTGGATTTTTTTCTTCTCTTCCTCCTCTAGGCTGTCATGGTTTCCCTGCTGACAGATTACTCACCACAGCTACAAAAACCCACATTTTGATGCTTGGATTCCTGCCAGGAGAAAAATATTCCTCATCAGCAGAATATTCTGGTCTGCAAACACATAGATCTTCTTCAGAAAGGACCAAGGCAATGAGTGATTTTTTTTAATAAAACCATATATTTAGCTGTATAATATTGCATTACACTTCTGAAAATGTTCAAGACAATAAACACCATTGGAGAAGCTGCTTTTCATCTGGATGCTCCCAGCTGGCCCTCCTTTTTGGGGATCAGCATCATGGAAAACATTCCAAGATTTTAACTTAATGGTTGGGACTACCAGCAGCATAGCCATGGTATAGTCTAAGTGTAGGTGTGGTGGCCTTGCACTGTGTGATATTGATTTTTATAAAGATTTTTAGCTTTTTCATATATTTGTAGCTTTGCAGATTTTTGATATTTAGTTGTATAGTTTATAGTGCTTTTCCTGCTCTCTTTCACATTTTAGAACAATAAGCTAACCCTTTCTAACACATTCTTGAAATTCTGTTTAGTCTTATTCTCAAGAAGGGAATTTCTAACAAGGAAATTTTGTTTTTCACCACAATTTGAGAGACATAACAACATATAGGACAAAAAAAAACCTGGATCAGCTCCAGAGGGGCAGAGCCAAGGGTGGGTTACTGCGGCAACTGATCTCTGATTGGATGTACCTGCTAGATGTACTAATAAATTAACTCTACAAAAATTGTACAAATCCTGTATCACATGTGAGCAGAGCCATTTTTGTGCACCTGAAAGCTTTCATTAAAGAATTGCTTTTTATCTTACCACTCTTAATGTTGTTCGGAAAGTTTTGTCTTTTGATTCCAGACAGCAATACGACAGACATAAAATTAAATTGCTGATCTTGGGAAGTGTGTGTGGAGCAGCAGTGCTGCAGTTTGCCTTGGCTGTCTGCATTTCCTGGGCACCCTGACTCCTGTTTCTGTTCTCCAGCCAACCTCCAAATCCCACTCCTGTGTGACACCAAAAATATGGAGAATTTGTGAGCATTATCCTCCTCCATGACATTCCTGTGGGCTGGTGCAGGGGGATACTGCTGTGGAATTGGAATAGAGCTGTTTCCACGGAGCTGGATGCAGAAAGAGAGACAGCCAGAAAGAACTGGTTCATTCTGTGCCCATCTCTCCTAGACATTCATTCCCCAAACAGAATTTTGGCTAAAGAATTGAATATTCTATATTTTTTTTTCCTAAGCAAACTCAAAGGGCACTACATGATGAAACTTCTACAGCTTCTTTGCAGAAGTTGCTGCATTTTGCCTTACACTGTAACACACCACACATTTCAGCTACTCCTTCTCTGTAGCAAACAAATTCATGACATTTGTAGTTTTTGTGATATCTAGGTATATTCATGTAATATTTCAGGTAAAGCTTTGAGTTCACTATTAACAAACACCTTCTTTGTTGTTTCTAAATAGTTTCACTTTTCTTTTTTTTCCCCCCGCTGTAATACTGGGACAATGTTTGTGATATTTCCAAAAATTCCGCAAATGAGTTTGCATTTTCTGACCAGCTGCAAAACATTATTCAGTTCCTTTCCAAATTGGAGTTCACTGCAGGGCCACACATCATGAAATGAAAATAAAGATACTTTTTTTCCTATCTATTTACAATTGATTTCTTGTTCTTGCAGGCATTTGTGTATCTTGTTAAGATTAACATTTTCCTTTACAACATTGCAAGAGTTTCAATAATTCAATGAACATTTACACTTCAGCAGAGATATTGCTGCATCAATGATGTAGGAATAGGGTATGTGCTAGAAATCAATGTTTTACTTCCCAGTTCAGCATGTGGAGGAAAATGCATGGAATACAGTATATTTCTGTATATGGTAGCAGTAAGTCCTGTTTTTTGAATTAGGTTCCAGTTCAGCAAGATATGTAGAAATAGGATTGGTCCTCTTGGACCTGATGAGCTGCTCATGTGCTCAAATTTGAAGATGTCCCCATTGACCTGATTTTAGTGCTGTCTGAGAGTAAGCTCACTTTGCTGGTCCTTTCATAAAAGCCACATTAATACCAGGTTTATGGTGTTGCTCAATGTACTCTTGGTGAAGTCACACACATTTATAACACCAAAGCTGCACAGTTAAATGTTTCAGGGTGAACAGTTTAACAATCCTGCTCCTCTTTTGATTCTCAGTGCTCTGATTAGAGCCAGCATGGATCTTGGTTACTGCTGACTCTTTTTGTACTCAGGAGTCTGAGCAGGATGCCAGGCAGCTGAATCCCCTTGACATTTTTATAACACATGCACAGAGCTGCTGGCATGGTGTCTGAGTTAGAGGGTCCAACATTTCCAGGAGGGTGATTTCACTTCATTCTATTCCTCTGTGAACACAGAAGGATGACAGCCCCTGCTCTATCTTGCACAAACTGCTCACACCATAAGCTGTTCTGGTGCTTTATAGAAACACTGGGTGGACTTCACATATCCTGAGCACTGGATTCCACTGTGTGGAATCATCGAACCTCCTACACCCTGCTGCATGTGCAACACCCAGCCTGTGTGCTGGGAGCCAAAACCATCCCAGCAGGCAGATTTATGGAACATGTGTAGACTGCCTGCAGAGTGCTCACAGTGCAGATCTGACATTTCCTAGAGGCATTGGATTGGTACCAAATAGACTTTCTGCCCCACAGACCCTGAAATGTGGTGCCCTGAAGGGTTTCTGTTATGCCTGTAGGGACTTTCACTGCCTTGACATAGAACAGAAAAGCACTGCAAGGATTAATCCACTTGGGCAGGTTTCAGCATCCTGGGATTGCTGAGTGGTAGCTGTGGTAGTGTGCAAAACAGCATTATGATGCCACCCAGACTCATTAATTCATTACTTGAATTTACTAATGATGACTGCAAATGTGGTGAATAAGGAAAACAGCAATAATGTAGGGATGTTTTCTACAGGGGAAAACAGTTTATCAACATTCAAAGGGCTTAAACCAAATGCATAACAGGTAGCATAACTAATAGCTTACAGTGTTTTTCATTTTTCATTACATTTATTATGCTTTAATCTGTAGGAGTGCTGTTTTCATTGCTGAGTGTACTTGAAGGATAGGGTGTTGTTTTTCTCTGTGTTTTCACAGGGATGCTCCTGCCTGGCTCCTGATAGCCTAGACCTTCCTTCCACAAAAGTCCAGCTCTTCTGTGTGGCCCAGAGAGCAGCCCTGGGTCAGTTCAGATCACTATCAAGTCTTACCCACATCTGACTCATTCAATAATCCCCTGGTCCAATATCTCACCCCACACATCTGCATGGCTGCGCTCTGGTGACCCTGCACTGGTGGGGGCAGCTGCCAGCCTAATCCATCCTCACAGAGGCACAAGGGATGGACTGATCCCCCCTGTCCAGTTCCTCTTCCCTGCAGGGCTGGCTGTGTGCTCCAGCTTGAGCAGGCACACCCAGACCTCATACACAGGCAGCACTGAGGCTGTGCTGTGTCCCAACAGGGAATATACACACTAATTTTGGTGCTCAAAGTTCAGATGCAGATCCAAGGGTAGTACTGAATCTGGCTCTGATCCCAGCTGAGGCCATGGGGACCACAGGGGCCCAGAGGTACTTTAATGTCATTTTAGACAGCTGGGAGTCTTGGAGACATCTGCACAGATCCAGCAGATGGGACACAGGACCAATGGGGCACTGAGGGCAGAAACTGGTGGCCAGCAAGGACATCCTACAGCACTTCAGATGGCCCCAAATCCAGTGCTTTGGCAACCACTCCTCACTATATTCATGGCCATGTAGAGGATAGAGGATTGCTCCTATTCTATGCCTAGAAAGAAAAGTACAGGATTGCTTTTTAGCAGTTCCCAGACCCTGTACATTCTTGTTCTGCAGCACATTAACAGCAGTGGGGGGATTCTTTGATTATCTGTGTGTGATCTTCCAAGAGTGAGCTAACATTAACTAGAGATTTAGCAGAAAAAGAGGGGCAGAAATCTTCTTTATCATTTTCTCAAGGAGGAAGAACATTTTTTCCTGTGTACTACAAGGGAGAGAGCACAGTTACCACAGCAGGTAAGAGGCCTGTAGAAAGAATTTGCAAATGATTCCTGTAACTTAGGGAGGACTGAATGGGTAGCCTGGACAACCAGGAGAGAACAAAGTAAAAATTCTCAAACATAATTAAATATTTTATTTGAGGCAGCTTACATCAGGAATGACAGCACGTACAGCAGATTTACTCATTGTCTGGTAGCGGAAGCAGCCGCCTGTGAAAGCCTGAGCTGCTAAAAGGGAAATGCAGGAATAACTAAATAGCAAGGAAGAACCAAGGCTTGGTTGCCTGAATCCTCTAGAACTCCTGAATTAATGTTTGCCTCTCAAAAACAGGGCTGTAAGTAATCCATAATTATCTTGCTCCATTTCAAATTTTGTGGAAGAAGTAACAAGAGCTGCACGAAGGTCTGAGCAGTGCATTGAACTGATTTTTCAGTCTGGGGAAAGATTTCATGGCTGAGCTGAGATATATTGAGCTTAGTTTTGTTTTCCAGGAATGTACAATACTGGTGGAAAGTCTGAATAGAAGATTTCACACAAAGGGAAAGGTTTCTTCTTTCTTCTGTGTCTCCCATTTCTCAGCTAATCACTTGGTTAATTGAGAAAATAAACGGTGCTTTTTTGATTATTTTGCCGTGGCTATTTAGCCAGCTGCCTTTCAAATGCAGAGCCCAGAATTTTTGGGTCTTGCCCAAGGTTATGTGTAGAGAGACACTTCATAAGCCACAATCAACATTTAATTCAGCCCAGCATTTGTTCTCGTGACTAATGGGATACAGCTATTTGTAAGGTTATTTGATTCTTACACAATCTTGTTACCAGCTTTTTGAAGAAATCCCAAACCTTTGTGGCCTCTGTAAAGGCTGATGATCTTTTCCATGTGTATGTGTGTAGAGGATTTTTCTCTAGGGGCAGGAAATCTGAGGTGCCTCCATTCAGACAACAGATCCTTCACAACCACAGTCAAAGCATTGCCTGCCCTTGCCAAATCCCTTGGAAAGTTCCTTGTGGTCTGCATTATAGGCCAGAGGATTAATGAATGCTGTTGCTCTTTAATGGGCCTATTTTCAGGGGATTGGCACTCATGCAAAGTAGGCTCCAACACAAGCATAATATATCCAGAGAGGGACAAGCACCAAGATCCTCAGTCTTTGCTGATCAAAGTTTACTTTGTCAAGCCAAAACTCAATTCCAACTGTAAGGAACAGCAATGAAAGCTGGAGAAGTGTACTGAAGAGTTGGCAGGGCAAATGCGGGTCATGCTTAGTGATTTAAGTGCAAAATAATATTAATTGAAGGGGGAAAGATAAACTACCCACACAGGTTATAGAATCATGGAGTCACAGAATGGTTTGGCTTGGAAGGGACCTTAAAGCTCCTCTTGTTCCAGCCACCCTGCCTCAGGCAGGGACACCTTCCACTTGGCCAGGCTGTTCAAGGCCTGATCCAACCTGGTCTTGAACTCTCCCAGGGAGGGGGCACCCACAAGTTCCCTGGACAACCTTTTTCAGTGCCCCACCACCCCTGAAGTCATGAGACTTCACAGCTCCATCTACAGTCAGCAAGTTCAGTTGACTGACTGACTTCTGTCTGTCCAGCAGCCTCACCTGATATGGCGACCCACTATCTGCAGGTGAGGTGAATGTTCTCCCTGGTCCCACTCCTGGCCATTTGGGCTCATGGAGGAGGAGGAGGAGCACTCCATGACTCCCTGGCTGCTCAGGGTGTGTGGGGTGGCTGTGTCCCAGCCCT